CTTCTTACATATAATGATAAACTCGTGTATACTCTTCTGCCATAGATGAGAGATGGAAAAGAAGAGGGGAGAGCGTACCAGTAATTTAAAGCTCGTACATGGAGATGGAGAACACATAAATGAAAAAAAAACCAAAGATTGAAGGGTTTAAATATTGAAGTTGAAACGTTCCAAGAGAAATGGAAGAGTTTTTGAGTTAAATGTGAAAATTAATTGGATTTAAATATTGAAGGTGAAACGTACAAGAGAAAGGGAAGAGTTTTTGAGTTAAATGTAAACATTAATTTGCAAAATTATTAAGAAAAAAAAATCAAAATGTGGAAAAAAGAGAAAAATAGGATCTTTGCATCGACGAGATGCCACGTCAACCTATCATGATTTTGCTTTATAGATATATATAGATTATAATAAATAAACTCTCATCATTTTTATAAATACCTCAATTAGTTAATTAGTATGGTTTGTACTGATGGTTGGATTTGTAAATAAAACCACCTCTATATAAATAAATATAGGAAAGTTAATAGAAATAGTCATTTTCAAAGATTAAATTCATCTTTTAGACATTCGTGTTCGGAATTTTCAAAAATATCACTACCTCTACAAGTGGCACCTCCTTGACTTATGGAAGAACTATATGACACAAAAAAAAATCATGCATCCAAGGGTGCTAACAGGTAATCCAAGGTTATTTTGTTAAAATTTTTAATTTTAGGGTTAAAAGTGTAATTGTTTCATTTGTGAAGGTTATTTTCGTTAGGGTCCCCAAAATTCAATCCCCTACAGTTTAAATTCCACGCGCCACCGCTCGTGGTTTCTCTTCCTCCTCCATAATCATGCGTCCCATCGTCGCCCATTTTAAGGACTCCATCTCTCTTCTCTCTCTCAAGAAAAAGTAGTTTTCTCTCTCTATAAGTGAAACGTCTTTGATTCAACCTCCGTCGCCGATCACCTGTGTTTTTTTGCTTGTTTTTCCGGTGAAGTATAATGCATATTCGTTCTTATTCCCATTTTGTGTTAAAAATATGTATCTACGTGTTCTGATTATGACTTAATTGCTATGTTCATTTGGAACACTCGGAGTTATCAGGTTGTTGCAAGCGCCAAATTTATTGAAGTTGAATTTGGAGCAGGATTCAAATGATGTTAAACCTCAATCTCAATCTTAATTTGAGCAATTTGATGCCGGAGTGTATGGCAGAAAGCGGGACTCAGTTTCGGGAACTCTGCGGTGGCAGCGGGAGCGGAGGTAAATTACAATACTCTGGTGTCACCTCGAATTCCTCCGTCGTCAATGTGGAGCCAACGAGTAATGCCGGCGACGAAGAGCATATGTATCCTTGCTTGAATCTCGAGTATAACTTCGATATACTTAAACAGAATAATCTAGAAGACGACAAGAACGTTAGGTCCGGAATTTTCGTAACCAAACAGCTTTTCCCGGATGGTTGCAGCTCGGTGGCTGAAAGAGAATTGAATTTAAGGCAACAGTATTATCAGCAGTACAACCAGCAAATAAAGAAGAACAGGAGAGGACCTAGGTCTCGGAGTTCTCAGTATCGCGGCGTTACGTTTTATCGGAGAACAGGAAGATGGGAATCGCATATTTGGTTAGTTATTAATGACATGTTTAATCATTTCTAGATGTTGAATTGAACTGAAAATCTTCATCGCCAGATGAATAATATCCCAAATTACTTGAGTTTATTGACAAAACGATGATGTTTGATCACTGATTTAGCATAGTAATTTGAAGCATATATGCTGCTCGATTTCCATTTTGTAATGAAAACACTGGCAAATACTGATTATGTCTGATCTTTGATCCCTGTGATTACTGTAGGGATTGCGGGAAACAAGTTTATCTGGGTAAGGAACAATGAGTACTGTATGGGATTGAATTCTCTTGTTTTATTCTAATTCAACTTGTATCTGATTCTGTTCATTGACGAGTAGCTGACCTGTTGGAATTCCCTGTAGGTGGATTCGACACTGCACATGCTGCTGCTAGGTATATATCTTTCTTGTTTGATATTGGTTTTACCTTTTGGAGCCATTTTTATGATTTGATCTTTTGTTATTAGGGCATATGATCAGGCTGCCATTAAATTCCGTGGCCTTGACGCTGATACTAATTTCAACCCAAATGATTACCAGGAAGATCTTAAGCAGGTTTGGCTGAATCTCTTAAGATATCTTTTGAGAATTTAGATTGAAGTGTTATTCCATGGAAGGAACTTGACGAGTCTTACTACCTTTGCAGATAAGGAACTTGACAAAGGAAGAGTTTGTGCATATTATTCGTCGTCAGAGCAATGGGTTCTCTAGGGGGAGCTCAAAGTATAGAGGAGTTACTCGGCATAAATGTGGTCGATGGGAAGCCCGAATGGGCCAATTTCTTGGGAAAAAGTGAGGATCAGTTAGAGGCTTACAATATGTCATTGTGGAGGAAGTTGTAATCAGTAATTGGAAATTGGTTTTCATGAATTTCTTGCTTGCAGGTACATCTATCTTGGATTGTTTGACAGTGAAATTGAAGCTGCAAGGTTCCTAAAGAAATTTATGTTCTTTTATCGGTTATCTTTCCACTTCAGTTTGGTTCTTTCTTTTACATTTCTGTGTGATTATGCCCAATTATCAGGGCTTATGACAAGACTGCTATAAAGTTTAATGGAAGAGAAGCACTTACCAACTTTGAGCCCAGCTCATATAAAGGAGAGCCAACTCCTGAGACGGAGAATGATGGTACAGACCACGATTTGACCCATTCGTGTGATGAATTCGGTTGTGGTTGTATAGTTGTTCAACATTCAATCATAATTTCTATATTTTATTTACAGCCTACAGTCAATCTATGGATTTGAACCTGGGTATTGCTCCCCCCTCATTTAGAAGTAGTAATTACACAAAATACACTTCTGGGAGCTTGCACCAGATCAATCATCTTCTAGGTGACATGTCTGAGGCTGAAAGAACAAGGGTAACTTAACCATCTTTGCTGATCTGTTTGAAAACTGTTCAATATGAAAGATGGGATGAAATTACCAAAGACAAGTTTCCATTTTAAATCATATACTTATATGTTAAGCTTTAATTTCCTTTCAGATTGAGCCCTCTACTTCCATGACATTGGGAACTCAGATGCCTCTTGTCCACCCTCCTGACAGAAACAGTGTGACTTCCCAGTTTATCAGGTACCTATCTGCCTGATGGAGTGATGGTAAATCTTCATTTACATTTTTTTGGATGATGGTCTCTGGTAAATTTTGCCAAAAAGCCCATTAATTTGATTTGGTACTATTAGAATTTTACATCGGTTAGACTTAAACATTTTCCTTCTCTATATGTTGGAACCGGGGGCAGACCCACATGGAATGATATGGTGGCAGAGGCATCTCTTCATCTAAAAAAAATTATGTTTCTAAAGGGTGCCACCTTATTGTTTTGTTGGTGCCACTGTATAGTAATTAAAACTAAAACGTTAGCACAAGACTTCGTTGAGACTTGAGATGGTAAATGCTCCTTGCTTTTGTACAAAAAACCCCAGTTCAAGTTCAACGGTTGTCAAAATTTATTTTAAAAGTACACGAGGTACATAAAAAATACACCAAAATTTAAGCTAAAATTTGTTTTATTTTAGCTTAAATTTTGGTGTGTGTTTTATGTACCTCTTGTACTTTTAAAAATATATGTAGACCGGCTCGAACATGGGTCTCTTCTATGTAAAGACAAAGAACCAACCAACATATATATACTAATATTGTGAAGGGGAAAAAATAGATATTTTTTATTAAATTGTGCCACCACTTGAAAAAAATTCAGGGTCGGCATCTAGTTGGAACCTCATTTCTCTCCTCAAAAGCTCTTTTAAAAAGTAATATAGGGTTTCCACATATTCTCATCATGGTATCAAAGTCAAACTCTACCATGCAAGGGACGGCTCTTTTGGAGTGTAATCTAGGAGACATTTGGTTTGATGGAATGATTTTGAGGGATTTGTATTTCCCGGAATGATTTGGAATTTGAGGGATTTGCAATAAAATTGAATTCCATTTTTTATAAATAATTTATGAAAACAAATTATAAAATAATTAAACTACCTTTTTATCAATTGATTATTATAAAAAAAATGTTTTCAACATATGTCAAGACATTATTAGTCAAAAATCATGCACAATACCAACAACCCCCATGAGATTTCAATGAAATCTCGGGATTTGAAATCCAAACGATCTTTCAAACGAACATGTGATTGGAATGGAATTGAATTTCAAATCCCTCCAAATCCTATCTAATCCAACAAACCAAACGGGATGTAAGAGTTCCACATATTCTTACATATATGAATCACTAACGGAGTTACTTGGAGAATAATCGTACTCTACCATGATCAGGGAACATCAATAGAGGAACGTAAGGAAGTGGATTTGAATCGCGGGTGGCAACTCCAGGATCCTTATGGTGGAGCTACCCCTGCTTCACTCTTTTCTGCTGCTGCATCATCAGGATTCAATCATTGAATAACCGTTTCTTCATCATTGGCTGCTGCTCATCGTCAACCTCACCATCACTACAGCCCATCCATTCACAAAGGCTGCATGTACCACTGTAGGAGCTGAAGATATATATCTTGAGCAATTTCAGTTTTAAGGGCAATCAAAGTGAATTGTTAACCATTCTATTGTGCATAAGGCTTTCTAGATCTAAGTATATTACTGTGTAATTACATGATGGCAAAGTAATGCAAACTTTTGGGAATACTGTAACTACCCGTCTCGCATTGATAGAAAAGTAGATATATAAGCTCAAAGTTATGGGCTACCAATAATTTTTACCATGGTTTTAAGTTGAATCCGAAGTTATTAGGTCTGCTTTGAACTTTTTGGGTGTTACAAATGATATCAAAACAGTGGGACAAACCTCACAAGGTATAATGAGTCCTTGAGGAAGTGTTTGTGGTAGAAGAATCTTAGGAACCTTTTACTATATAATGAATCCATTATCAATTTTGATACCCCTTGGGTATATCAACCTCATTTTGAAAGCTTCTTTTGAACCAATGTTCTTTATTTTAGACTAGAAGGATACTCGCGCAATATAGCGAGATAAATCTCGATTTTAATGTGGTTTTGATATAATACAATTTTATGTGGTTTTGATAAATCGATAATGTTTTTATTTTTGAATGAAATATAAATTTGAAGATAACATAAACTTTTGAAGAAAAATAAATTGATATTAGTATCAAATTAACTATTTAATAGTTCTCGTTTTTTTGGTGTAACTTCTTTAATTTAATTTAGATTTAATAACAAATTAATTTATTTTTGGTTTAATAATATAATTTTTTATAAAGATAATAATTAAACATTCTGTTAGAACTCAATRATTATYTTAATTATATTTTAGATTTTCTATGTTTAAAATGAATATTTATCTTATATTTGATTATGTTTATTTGCAGTTAGTTATGCGAATTTAAAAATAGAACTTTAATAAGTTGTACTTATGCAAAATTACTTGTATTCTTGAATTTTAAGTAATATGTATCAATAAACAATACTTCATGCATAAAAAAAAATAGTTTTTAAAAGTTTTTTCCAAATACTTTATAATATAATATAAATATTTCAATATTCATTATATTACTAAAATATTTTATAATTTTATCATCCTAATATATTTTTAAAAATTTATATAAGATCATAATAATAATTAATGGGAATGACACATCAAGTTTTAGGCTTCGTTTGGTTTGATAGAATATTTTAAAATATTTCTAACACATTTTAAACAATATATAAACAAATTCTACGAAATACCAAATATCCCGATGGAATTTCTAAATCCCATGTTTTGTAGGATTTCAAATCCAAACTTTCAAACCAAACATATGATTGGAATGAAATTGAATTTCAAATCCTTTTAAACCCTATCCAATTCTACAAATCAAACGGGACCTTGGAAAATTCTCTAGTTTTCTTTATTTTAAAAAACAATATAAAGAATCTGTTAGAGTAAAGTAAAAAAGAAAAAGAGCGTATGTTTGTACTCTTGAATTTTAAGTAATATTATGTATCAATAAACATAACTTCATACACCAATTCCTGCAAATGTGCTTTTCAGATGTTTATAAAAAGGGAAATCTAAGTTTTTATGCTTAATGTAGTGTTTATTTTTTTTATTACAGAAACACCGTCTCTCTTTTGTTTCCATCTTCTCTACTAGAGATCCTCAAAAATCGGTTCCAGGCCAGGTTTAAAATGGTCCCAGTCCCAGAATTGTTTTTCGTAATCGATTCAGACAATGGGACTGGTCTCGGTCTTGAGTCCCAACCAAAAACTCATAGTCCAATCTATGTGTTTTGAAACTGGTCCCTAGAACCGGTCCCGGGCTGAGCCTAACTAGTCCCAATTTTTTTCTTCCAAAAATCAATTTTGAACATAAAAAACCCGTGTTTGAAGATTTTCTTTTTGGAACAATGTCTTATTAAAATACACTTTAAAATCTTTAATTGGGTTATTTAAATACACTTTTAAAATCTTTTTTACTCAAAAATGTTATAGATGTTTATATAATTACGATTTTCAAGATTTAGTATTAGAACAATTACAAAAACTTGAAAACGTAAAAAAAAAACTTGAAAAACTTGTATAAAAAACTTGAAATTTTCAGTAAAAAAAAAACTTGTAAAAATATTGAAAAACTAGATATACAACTTATAAAATATTATTTAAAAAAAAAACAGGCCTACATATAACCGGTCTCGGTCCCGGTCCCAGCCCGGGCCGTGAATTTCTTGAAAAGTGTAATAAGTTGAGGACCGTCAGGCCGGTCCTCATCCCAACCGGTCTCTGTCCCAATCTCGATCCTCCACCAAACCAGACCTATTTGACGATCTCTATTCTCTATTCTCTTTCCAACAAAAAGGATATCTCCAAATGTAAAAACACTTGACAAGCTAATTAACGAAAATGAAAATAACAAAAAATTATAAAAATTATTTAATATACAAATAACAGTTAATTTAATCCAAGTAGTAAAAACATGTACAAAATTAATTATGTCAAAAAGTCAAACAACGAATTTTCTCTTATTCATTAAAAGCATTTTTTTCATATCGTTCTAATACTAGTTATATTTTTATATGATCACTGGTACAATCTATTTTTATTTGATTATATTTTAATATTAATTTTTAAATACCAATTTGTTGATGTATTTTATTTATCTTAAATATTAATATATTTAATTAAATACCATGGAAAGGTGAGGGACTTTACATTGTTGCTTATGTCTAATTTTATGTCCACACATTTCATTTCAATTTCTTGACGAATTAGTATTCTCACCTACGACTTTTATTCAATATATCGAGTTTACAACTTCTGGGATGATCATATTAGAGTTCGATAATAGAACCCATATTGTAATTAGACTAAAATCTTCATATGGCCGGTAGAAGTTTTTGGAACACAATGCTCATAATAAACCAGAAAAATGATCATAATAAACCACTATGCTCTTTCTTTTTCAGGCTTCTGGTCAGTGAGTTAGATGTCCTGTAACACATATACGATGGAAGGAGGAAGCAACAATGGATCTGTCAAGACTGGCATTGTTGGAATGTTGAGCGTTATGACATACATATTTAGCATCCTTGTACTAGTATCTGAGTATATTTATATATATATATACAAAGAGTTCCAAGACAAACAAGCTCCACCCTAAAACCCAGTCAGGTTTTACCCCACTCCACCCAAACCCGCCTAATGATTTCCCTACTAGTAAGAGGGTAGTTTTTACCAAAAATTCCTCTATGTTCGTCTAAAGATGACATGTTCCCGTTCAAACTAAAGAAAAAACAAGTTCCCATTTGGGTATAAGAAAAAAAAATGATTGTAATTTCTATTTTGTTTAAACATAAAATTATAGATGTTCTGAATGAGATATTCAATTAATTTTCCATTTTTTTCTGGATTTACGATACATCCCGTTGCATTATGAAAAACTCTTAATACAATATGTGAACCACCAAGTATATAAAATATATCTTACAAAATTTGATTTCTAAAAATTGGATTTATCTTTGATAGAATCTTTGTATCCCGTCACATTGCATAGGAACACAACTAGTATTTATACTTCCCTTTTGTTATTATGTTTGTTTCTCATATAAATGTACACATAACCAGTCGATCCTTCAGCAGACAAATGCGTTGTTTCTTGTGGTATGATAAGGAACTGGAAGTAAATAAGTAGTGGTTACTAACCTGAACTCAAAAGCAAAGAGAAACTAGTGTTTGCCACAAAACTTATCCCCTTGACCTCGATGATTGACTTCGGAAATAAGATGAAGATTGCACCTGAAAAGGAGAGATTTAAAATATTGGATGGTGGCTTAATTTAAGGCATGCTTTTAGACATCCATGAGAAATATGGTAAGGTTCACTACACTACTTGATGCAAGTCCAAATTTCAACTAAATTGAAAATGCTAATCCTATAAGAATGTTATCGATCATCTTATTACATACGAAACACTAAGAAGTGGCTTCTAAATGAAGTAACACATGAATTGTGAAAACTAATGACAGACCCTTGTAACCCGGCATGATTATGTAGTATGTACAGTACATTTGATCTATAATATATTACCTGAAATTTTGGCCCTTTTTTAAGTAGACAGCCAGCAACGTTTAAATTATCCACAAGCATGTCAACATCCGGAACTCTTAAGCAAATCTTATCAGCCAAACTGAATATTTCCTGAGGAAGTTCATTTCTCCATTTTAATGACCTTGCAAGACTGCTTCTGATAACAATATTGCATTAGTAAAAAAGTAAGTCTGTTTACCGATATAGAAAAGCAGTCTTTCTGTTCCAACTCTGATTGCTTGATCAGTGCACTTAATAATCGCTTGCCTTCTTTAAGATTACTCATCCCACCACTCCGATCAAAATCTACAAAACCATGCTCATCGACATACTTATCATACAGGGATTCCTTCATTATTTCAACAACATCCTGCGGCGTATATAAATTGACCCAAAAGACATGAAGATCTTGTAGCTATAAAATATAAACAAGTATTGGCATAACACCATGTGATGTTGCAAATATCATTTGTAAAGCAAATCTGGTGGTTGCAAGCTACAAGCTAAGGATGCAAAACTAAAAATATGGACAATTACCAAGATCCTCATAGTTCCAAATTTAACAAACATTTTCCCCAAAACACATCCATTTCAAAAACCAACACTGTGGAACCGTTTTGCATAGCTGAAATGAACAAATCCACAGCAAGCTGTAACCTATATGGCAGGAGGTACAAGTGGTGCATCATTATTGCTCACAACTTGCTCAATCTAGATCAAGAAAAAGTATTTACCTGAAAAGAAGTCTGTTACTTTTTGTTAATTCTGGATATTGTTGTATTAGGAGAAGTCCTCAAAAGTCCTAGGCTTTTCGAATGAAAAGTGCAAAGAGAATTAGAGGCATTAACAACTTAATTTCAATGTTCCATTTAAAACTTCAAATGCCAAAAACCATGAGCCATCAATTACCGAGTGCATACTCCCTCACCCCACAGGCATTGAAACATTTCAGGAAACTAAAATTAGTTGAATATCCATCCCAAGAAAGTCTACTTTACAATTTTTCTTTGTCTCATGTTCGATATGTGACATTAAGATAACTTTTGATGAACCAAGTCAACCTTTCCTTTTCTGAAGATTAGATAAAGAGAAAATTTGTTAACTTGCATTTAGTAATGCATAACATTGTCATTAAATTCCTACTAGATTTTAAAGCTGGCTCTCTTTTTTTAAATGGGAGTTGTAATTACCAATTTTCCCTCGAAATATTTAGGTATATAACGTTACATGAGATTTAATTAAGTCCATGACCTTTTAATGAGTATGAAGTCGTTTTTTTCTTTTAATAGGTCATAAAGTCATTGATTTAATTTTAATCTCATTTTATGCTATATACCTAAAGGACCCATTTTCTATGATTTTCCGAAAGTATTGACTAGTTTTGATCGAGGTTTGCTTTAATTTAAATTTGGAGATAGTTAGGACAGGTACTGTAAACATTTAACTATATCTACTATTTCCGTTAGTGGGTAGAGACAAGCATTGTAATCCTTCTTAGACATACGTACTCTAAGCATTAGTGTTAGCAATTCACAATATTAAAGACTTATGCATATCATAACTGTTTAGGTATTACATCTTGAAGTTTGACTAATATTTCTCTTCTTCGTATTAAAGATCTTTGCAAATATAATATAAAACATTCAAATTATTAAACACTTCATTGATTGATATGAAAACCTAGTGCAGCTTTAGAGAAGTGCTCGACAAAGCATCATGCATGTACTAAAGCCCCGACAAAGAACCAAAATGATCACCTCTGTGATGCATTCCTTTTTCTATGTAAAGAACTAAAGTTGCCATCATATCTTACAATTTATTCCTTTTCAGGAAAGGCAAGAGGGTGAACGTGTGGAGAGAAAATGTATATTAACTCACGTGATAACAAAAAATTACAGTGAGTGTGGTGGTTATTGTAAATTTGCCCAACAAGTCAATAATTAAAGCACCAAATGCCTTACCTTGGGCACCTTACACACTTGTGGGAATGGATGAGAAAATTATATGATCTCTTACCAAGCTTAGCATGAATCTACCCTACTCTGCTTCACAGCCACATGGCTTTTTAAGCTTCAGCACTAGGGTCCAGTATCTTCTCTCTAGAAAAGTTATCCAAAGATGTCTACTTCATAAACAATTTCTAAGATAGCCTCTAACTCCATCCTAATTTAGATCTACAGATATGAACCTACTAGAGTGCATGACAAATTCCTGAGGGAAGTAATAGCCACCCATATATGCCTGCCTCCTTTTTAGAGACAACAACAGTATTCTAGCATCAGGCAAAATATTTGACCCATTTGAAAGACAAAGTCCATGTAACCACTAATAAGAAGACGCAATCTGGTTGGGTCAAGTCTTTAGATAAAAGGGAAGAACATACTGTGTGGTAGATTTGATTTAGTACAAACTGTGTAACTGCTGCTATTCAGCTTCATGACCAGTTTTGAGAATATTGTAATTTTAAATTGACCATATCCAAGCTGCATTATACTAAATAAACTTACCTCAGCATCTTCAACAGTTATTTCTTCCCTCAACTCCACCCTAGCTCGAGCCTGTGCCAACCTTACTAGACTTTCTAATTGCCTTGCTGTTATTGGTGTGCCGTCAGCAGATGTGTTACGGTCTCTGAGTTTTAGGTAAAACTCCTGCAGGATTTTAGCCGCTGGTCTTGACATCCTGATATCAGAAAAATCAAAAAATATATTTCTGCCATGCGAACAGAGTTTTGGCAATAACTTGAAGAATAGACTTGCAGCATCATAATGGTGGTGCTTAGTTCACCTTGGAAAGACATAAGTTCTTGCATATGCGATATATTTACGAAGAAGAGGAGCAGGCAATGGAACAAAATCAACGTCCTTCCTGGGATCAAGTCTCAACCTTGAGACTACTGAACCACTCTTTACATCCAGGTTTGTGCCACTGATAATTTGAGATGCTGCACCATGTAGAAAAACATGCTGGCCTTTACATTAACACCACACAGGGTAAAGAGATCTACAGAAAGATGAACACACCTGTAAGTTTCTTAACAGGTTGTGAATGATCCCCATTGCCAACATGCAGCTGCAAGAAAAGAGAATATATATAACACACTGATGTTTCTCACTTGAGAAACAGAGAAGAGTAGGTTATGTATCTCATCTACACTCTTTAAACAGCAATAGCAAGATGAAATGAACTTAAACAGAAAATCTATATAATGATAAGAAACTATTTGGCGAGTCGAATATTCAATGGAGGTATCATGTTAAAGAAATAAGATTTCCAAAAAGTAGAGTAATGCAGAAACACTTGGATGAAGGATCAAAACAGAGAAACATCAATATTTGAAATAGAAAACTTGAAAAAAAGGAGGATACTTATATGTCCTGCTGTTGCATTGATATACTACTAAATAAACTTTTTTGTTTTTACACAGGGTCGTAATTGAAGTCCCTAATGATCACTATAAATAAATCTGATCAAATTATATATCCAAGTTACCAGCACAGCCTCACAAACATTTACTTTTCATACTAATAGAAAGCTTCAGAATTATTCTTAAAATTAAGTATACCAATTTCAATAAAATTCCTGGTATGTGTGTGTCTCTTGTTATGTATTGTTTGTAACGAAGGCCACAAGTCATCAATCATCAAAATGATTGAGGTGCTGGAACAGAAACATAAAGTAAATAATTGACATTTATATGCACAAGTGACTTAACACTTTAACACGTGACAATAATATTTATCATGGTACTAAGCAACTCTACCAAGTCATACCTAAGTACATAAACAGTTATAAGCAGATGTATGTATGATAAGGTAATATCCCCAATCATGTTTCCTTTCTAATGCATCTCATCATGTCAGTCTGCAGAAACGTTCTCTACCTCTGAGGATAATAGATAGTAGAAATAATCATTGAATCTAATTTCATGTTTCAAATCTATGGTTAACTTTCTGCATAACTGACTTTAGCATGCAAATACATTACATATAGTATATGAAATGATAGCCATTAGAATTTTGTTTTTCTTTCTTCAAGCATTAATGCTAAATGATTCCCAAGGATTATCTCAATGTTGAATGTTGATTTAGTACAGCTGTCTAATACATTAACTGAATGTAACATATTGATGTGTGCTGAACCAACATCTTATTCGCTACAGAGCATGGATAATTCCATTTGTGTTTATTGTGTACGGTTAGTTTTTGATAAATTAGTTGGTTTATTTTTGTCCTTTAAAGTACTATGAGAACCTTTTAATGTTAATGTTCCTGGCAAAGATCATGTTTATTAAATGGTATTTAGAAATGAATGGATGTGAAACAAATGCACTTGACAGGTTGCACCTTTCATTAATAAAGAGGTGAGCCACAACCAACAAAGGGACTTAGCATTCAAGCAATATATCTCCAGTGGATGTATATTAGGTCTCTTCACTAATCAACCTAAACAAAGCTCCAAGTTGACTTACTGACATAATGTGATCCGAAACTCGTTTGTCAAGTAGCTCATCAGGCTTGTCAAGCAATATGAAAACTAAATCAAATCGTGATAGAAGAGCAGCATTGATTTTCAAGTTCTCATTCACAGTTTTTGCCCGGCTGCAACCCAAATAAACAATCAATTTAGAAATCGCTACTAGCAAAATTACAAAAGATTTTAGCACAAAAATACAGTACAGCTTTTATATTTCCAGTGTGGTAGCTTAAATATGTTATGCGTAAAGAATACACAAATAGTGCACAAGGGTTGGGTTACAATGAGAATGAGAGTTATGGTGAGAATGGTAAGAAGGGATCTCCACCCTTGGATCAATCTTAATTGAAGAGTTCCACTAGATCAACACTAATGAAAAGCAACGGATCAATTCCCTTCTAAAGCATAATTCATGGGTTGGTTTGAGATTAAGAGTGATCAAGGGTCCAAATCTCTTCTTACATTTTTCACCTTAACTCTTAATATCACACGATCCATCATCTAATGCACAATAGGTCTTAAGAAGAAATGAAATTCAAAAGAAAATCAATTGATAAGTGATAAATCACAATGTCATTATCAAAAATGTGTATTCTCATCAATTAGCCTAAAAGACTATTAACATAGATAGACGTTAAGTCCTATGATGCATGGAAATTTTATGGTATGTTTTGCATGTGTTTTTGAGATAGAGAGAACCCCTGAACGTTGGAGATTTCCCTATGCCAGTAATTAGTGACAACTATAAGTTGAAATCCTTCAAAGTAATTAGTACTTGTAATGGCCACCAACAGGGTTTGCTGCTGCTAGAACAGTTGTTTGAGCAGATAAACTTGCTACCAGTCCTGCCTTCGCAACTGAAACACACTGTTGCTCCATTGCTTCGAGTAGAGCCTGTCATGGTTATAATATCAGCAAATACTTCTTCATTTCATTTTTTAAGTAACCTCTTTTGGCTATGTGAGGCCTATACTAATAATAGTTCAAGACTAACCTGGTGTTCTGCGGTCATTTTATCAAATTCATCGATACAGCACAATCCCCTATCAGCAAGTACCATAGCACCTGTTGGAAAATAGATTACCTTAGCAACAGACCCATTTTATTAACAATAAGCGTTTTGTTCAGCCCCCTTTATCCTCTATATATATAACACCTTAGATCTCCATCTTCTGGTTAGCTGAATATGTGCAAACTGTTCATGAAGGCTAAATTTGCTATGGTTGACTTAGTTTGGAGCAATTCCATTCTCATGGATGAATGAAAAAGATCCAAAGTAGCAACTTCATAGGCAACTGCCTGAACTCTATAGACCTACCACGTATGTATTAGATATGTAACAACATTATCAGACTTAGTTGTATCTCTAATTCATCATTTTGCTTTCCTCCCTGACACATGTCCACAATTAAATTGGTGGTGTGGTACAAATTTCAAGGTTTTGGTATTGCTCAACGTCTAACAGATAGTAGAATCAAAATATAACATCATCACACTTTCTTTAAGCAAAAAGATTGTGTTTAACAACTACCATGCATACAGCTCAACAACTATTCAACTACTAATCATAGTCCATAAAATGAAACTTGTTGAGCTCAATATTGTATTATGCTGGAAAGCACAAAATATGTGAAACCTAATTCTTTTAAGTTTTAACATTACCATTCGCAAATGGTTAATAATGACCACAAGTAAATGCCCTATATAAGAAATAAAAAGGTATGAGGAACACTTTGCCTTAAGTTACATAACAATTTTCTATGAATGCAGGACATGGTAGTGAAATCATCCTCAATTCATACAAGAGAAAAGAAGAAAACATGTACCAGCCTCAAAAGCATAGTCACCAGTCACTGAATCCTTTACCACGGCAACAGTTAGCCCAGCATTTGTTGTGGCATTCCCACAAACATATATACCTCGTGGTGAAACTGAAGCTGCTGCTTGCAGCAGTTGACTCTTCCCTAGTCCAGGATCACCTAATATGGAACACATACCATTGGCAGGGTTAGGATACTGTGCCTAACATACATCCTAGATAGTAAATATAGAATCATTCAAGTATTATGTAGAAGAGAAGATAACCAACAAAAACAAAATAGAGAACATGTATAATCATGCTAACATGGTATTGATATATCCTTCTGACTTCTCATGAATACAGCAAAGCCAACTGAAACTCCAGCAATCCCAAATATTTCCTTGAACGCCTAACAATGATTCTGACTTCTAATGTATCGACAACTCATACTTAAGCGTTTCACATGCTAGAAAGAATAAGAAGTCATACCATTCATAGATACCCAAAATGTATGAGCCCCAAGTGATTTTCTTGAATGAGCATTCTCCTAGGAATTTCATGTGTTCTCTTAAAATACAAAACTAGATATAGCATTTGTTAAGCGGCATGGCTTCAATAATTTCTGATATCAATATCAAATAACATATTTTACACAAATCCAACATTAAATGCATGTAAAATTAGAAAGGTATGTGCCTGAAGTTATTTTCTTGAAAGAACATTTTCCTTGGAGTTTCATGTGCTTTTTTAAAATACACAGCCAGCAATTACAGCACTTGTTAAGAGCCATGACATAAATAATTTCTAATATCAATATTAAATTACTGATTTTACACAAATCCAACACTAAATGCATGTAAAACTTTGATTGAAGGATTCGTTAAGAAGAAATCAGAGAACTTCCTACCAACGATTATCACATGAATATCTCCTCTGACAGGAACCTTATTCTGATCCATTGAATGCTTTCTTACACCTCCAAACAGTGCCAATGTGATTCCAGCTGTTCAAGAAAAAACATAGTAATCATTGATCACTTAGTCGTTAAGTCATGTGAGTCAAATGATCAATGTTGGTTGTATATAACTTCTATACAAATCCACACTTGAATAGTTTGATCGCTCCCATTATCTAATATTAGCAGTTTATAATACACAAATCATGGATGTCTAACTTTTTGATGCTCTGATTCTCAGCCGTATAACATCTAGCTATGTGATGTTCCTATAAGACAAAATTTACAACTTACAATAACTAACAACCACTGTACTATGGTCAGACTTGTTAACCCCTTCCCTTGCATGTTTATAAACAAGATGACAAGGCTTAACTTGATGTCAATTCCCTGGGTCAATAAGAAGGATAGGTCCTCTCACTTCCAGGTTCGATTCCCATCGAGTGCGAAAACCACCTTGTGGGTTGTGGCCACGCCAACCTCCCATAGAGAGGGCTTTTCCTGTTCTACGGCTGTGTGGTGGTTGGTCTAGACCACATGATTAGTAGTGTCTTCGGGTTGCCGAAACCACTTTCAAATATAAACAGTGCCACAACATGAAAAGAGTCGATAAATACAATAAAAGAATAAATGTCAAATTTCTTCAAAGCAAATGGTCATTGGTATACTTCCCGCATTTCCAGTCTAGACCAGAACAGTTTTTAATATATCCATTTTTATTTCGGTATAGACGGTATCTCCTTATTCTTCATGATATTGACCACATTTATGACGTTATATCAATAAATAAGACTTCTAGGTCTAATTTTGTGTGTTAGATTATGAGGGTTTAATCCATCCATTTGGAACCAAGAAAAAACTCATTTGTGAGCACTTTGAGTGTTTCATTTGTAAGTTGATTGCTCCCTGTGGATGTACACTATCACACCAATAGTGGAACCACGTAAGTCTCTATGTTCTTATTGTGCACTGTTTCTGCTTTCATTATCGTGTTTGCAAACGCATTGGACATTTTATCGTACGTTGAATATAATCCTATTTTGTTCTGCATTCAGTTGTTGATCATGTTCGGGACCGTGATCTTTTGTAAAATCCGCAACCATATGTAAGTATACCTTAATATGTTCTTCTACAAAGTCTTAGATGAATAAACTTGTTTCTATGTTAACGTAATTCTAGTGAAGCTAAAATTAATTCAATCATAGACTGTGCCAGAAAACATATGCAATAATGGTGAGAGTAGATTAATACAGCATTTTTATGTACCTTTAACAAGTTCATGTCCATAGATGGATGGGCAAACTGATTGCAGTATTTGACGGAAGACATCTGAACCATGCTCTGAAGAAAATTTACAAATAAATTCCAAGTCTCGTTGACTGAAAGAATATAAATCCAGCAAGTCCGTAGCTTTAGCCACTGATTTCGTGTCTTGCAAAATCTCAGGCACAGACTGTGACTTGGAGTTTTTGACCGACACTCCTTCAAGATACAAGTAATATAATCCTTGATTCCTGCCCTTTGATTTTCCTGGTTCACACGGATAAGAAAATTGAACTTAAGTGGCACAATGAAAAAAGAAACTTAGAAAAGACCAAGTGCATGCACTAGGGGATCACCATGTTAAATTATTATTTTTATAACAAAATAACAATGCTCTGTTGCACTGTATTGCTCTTTTCGGGAGTGGCTAGACCTCAGCAGAACTCTTTTCCTAACTAATCACACACTTTATCTGATCAGTAAAAAAACAATGTCATATCATGAAACTTTATGAGAACATGAATATGTTAGGCCAGAGTTACCATAATGTGGAAGTGGCTTTAACATGAAAAAGGTGTTCCTAATCCAATTAGACAGGGAACAAGTACAACTGAAGTTATCCTTATTGGAAAACAAAGAAAAGGAAAACAGAGGGTTTTTTCACAAAAACAAGAAAAACCATCGGAAGTTTACTTTTGGGGTAACCTTGAGTTTTTTTCTATTTCTAAGCTAGATAAACACCTGTGTTCCTAGAACATGTATGCAAACGTATAAACCCTGATACACAAAACCAGAATATAAAAGTGCAAACCGAACTAGAAAATAGACCTAGATAAACAATGCTCAGCAGAAATGATGGCATGCATGATGAGTTAGAATTACCTCCTCCTACGTCCATGTAATTGTTAATCACCCTTATTATACCAGCAACGGTCACAACATCTCCAGGGATGCAAAGGTCTACGAGATCTTCAATCAATTCACATTCCACTGTTCTAGGCACCCGGCCTTCTTCATGATGTTCAGATTTCAGCAACTCTTGAATTCTGGAAGAGCACAAAAAAGCCATAGATCATCATGTAGAAACGTACAAATATTGTAAATACAAAAATATGAAGTACCTTTCGAAATTTGTACCTTATTTTCTGGAAGTCAATTGGCCGTGCACTGGATCTGATTGGGTTAAAAGTTCTGCTTTTGCATCCATGTATTACACATACTGAAGGAGGTGAGAACTTCCCATCGGGGAAGTCACGTGGAATAGTGGTTCCACACTTGGTACAGATGAAACTCATCTGTACCACCAATGGCCTGACAGTGCTAACTTTTACTACAGTACCGCGCACAGAAACAAGCCTTTCTGTCATCATGGTAAATTTTACCAAGTAAGCATACAAATATCCATTTGATAATAGAATTAAACAGTATGCATAATAGCTCTGTAAATATACCAATGTAAGCTGCCTTCAGGTTCTTCAAAGCAATCATAGATTCGGGATGGTTGTGCAGGCGTATGTTTACCTTTGCATTGTCATCTAACTCTTCATCATTTGATATGGAGTGAAGGACCTACTCCCGGTAGAAGTTGAGAATCAGGTTTTTAATGCATTAATGACATAGGAAGATCCATTAAACCAGCAAGGCAGCAACTGCTATTTTTACCTTGTGTACAGCAGCGCTCATGCACAAAAGCGCTTCTTTGGGTTTTCTTTCTAAAGCATCATAAAATTCTTCGAGCATACATATTTTCCGGAAATGCTGGAAATCAAGTGGCAAAATGAACAAGGTGTCTTCTTGCTTTACCTATTCATAAGATATTATATACAACATTGCAAGTTAATTCTATCATCAAAGAGGAAACAAGTCCATTTGGACATGACTTCACTTAGAAAACTTGTGCAATATAATCATAGCTTTTGACAGACAGAAAAGAAGAAAATAAATCAATTTAGATTTTTTATCTATATGATGCTAACCAAATAGAACAGTCAAGCAAATTCATACAACTGAGAAGGCAGATACACACGACCAATCAATGAAGAGGTCTAGACGATGTGCACATGTAGATAAAGAAGCTATGCTGCTTTGGCCACCCGACGGCTCAAAATCCATCATTTAGGGCCCAGATTTCAAATTTCCTCCAATTATATTTATGAAGTACAGCCAACGAAGTACTCTTCACATGCAACCCTTTTACTCTATTAAGTCCCGATATTTCCGAGATGGAAGATTGATTTTCATTTACAAATTTAACACAACCATTGACGCTGTTATGAGATTTAACATTGATGTTGTTATAGGATTTAATCTCTCATGAATTCGTAAAAGCGTATCAATTCAAAATTAAACAAGCACTCCTTTCAAAACCCAAAATCAGTGGTAGCTTTTCTCGGAATGCGGCAGTTTTTTGGATCAAAATTGACTTACGCATTCTCAATCTCTGTAAATTTCTATCTTCAAAGATTTCAATGCAGAGAGAAAGACGGAGACCTGGGAAATGAAGTCTGCTCCGTCATGGGTAGAGAAAAATTGTTCATATAGCTTCGAAGTGAGTAGCAGCATCTTCTTGGCGTCACCATGGGAGTAGTCAATTTGAGGGAAATATTTAGCCAAAATGTTTGAGATCTGGCCCCCATTTGTCGATGTTTGCTTCCCGGCGCTCAACATCATCCTCATCCCTCTGTCAATCCGATATATCTACAGAAAGTAACGACATTCGAGGTTTTGGTCTCCTACGAACTTTTTCGTTTGATTTTAGCGGGAGGAGCTCAAATGACGATTTTGACTGAAAAGACCTGAAGAACAAACCGTCCCTTCACACCGGTGTCAGACGCATGAAGACCATATACAGGCTCGATTGATAACGGGCCAGACATGTATGGGCCTTTCGTCTCCACAAAAATAACCACTTTAAAAATTAAAATTATAAAAATAACCCTAAATTTTATATTTTACAATTTTTAAACCTCTTATTACCATTAAGCATTAGATGGTGTATAAAAGGACTAAATTGCAAAAAAAAAAAAAAAAAACCTGTTTTTTGAAATGATATGATCGATGTGACACTCAGCTGCCGCAGGGTGAACCTTGTGCACTTATCGGTGCACGGTGCGTAAAGGGACATCCGATACATCAGTCCATCCCACTTTGACTCATGTTTTGCCTTTTTTTTCCTTTATACCCAATATATATATATATATATCATATTTATACTAAATATTACATGTATGTTCTAATTCAATTTTTACATTAAAAAATTATCTTCTCCAAACTCTCAAGAATCAATGTATGTCATTAAGAATGTTAGAATACGTGTTTTTTGTGGAGGTTCGTGGCAATTAATCAACGACGTGGTTGATTATATTCCATAAACACAAAAAGTTGTTGTGGTTGTTGTCGATACACTTAACATTTTCAGGTTTGATCCATTATTTAGCTAGAAAATTAAACTTACTTGATTTACAAAATTATTTTAAATTAACATATAAATCTATGCCATCTAGTTCGGTTGTCGAGTTATTTGACACCGATGATACGAGATATTTTCTAGCTGCTGGTGTAGATATTTCACCACAAGCCTTAAGATTGTATGTTTGCGATCGTGGTGTTGAAAACAATCAATCGAACCCAAGCCAATAGATTGCTTTGGTCATTGTGTATGGGGTTGAGCACCCCTAGTATATACTTCTACTCGGTCGATATGTGTTGAACCAAAGTGAGTGGGTTACAACCGATGAATATCTCCACTAGTTCCATACCAACTATTATAAAGTGATGAGGCAGCTCCTAACATTCCATATTATTTGTACCAAACTCAATATCAACTGTTTCAAACTCCACATGAAACGTATCAATCTCAATATCATTCGTTTCAAAGCCGGGGGGCGGGGGACGTGTGAAACTTCATATCAGTCCTACAATACTCCATACAAGTCATACGAAAATCATCCGACGTACAAAATACTAAGATTTACCACTTGATTATGGCACTTGTATTTCTGAAATTTCTATCGAATAATATGAGGCCAATTTAGATGACACTGAAAATGCATCTGAAAAATATAAGGTTGATCTTGATCCTTATTATGGGGTTGTCTTCAGGGGTTGTTTGTATCATCCCAATACATATGAATATTTGGAGATACAATCAGATTGTAGTGACAATGAACCGGATACGGAAGATAAAGAAGAGGCGGAGGATGATGATAAAGAAGGTATTGGTAGGGGTAATATTAGTGCCCTGATGGGTTGCAATTACTGTGGGGCATGTCTCCCCCATTACCAACGACAATCCCTATAGTAAAACCTAAAGAACTGGCTGCCAAATATCAATGTTCTAAACGTGTGAAAGTTGAACAAATTTTCAAGTGTAAAGCAAACTTGAAAATAGCCCTCGAACTGAAATGTCTTGAAGAAGATTACCAGATGAAAACCACCCGCTCCACGCGATCTAGATTTAGAACAGTGTGTATATATAAGAAAAGTGTGAATGGTGAATAAGAACAACTGCAATTAATGGTAGGATGTTGTTCCAGGTTCATACATTTAAGGACTTACACACATATTCACAAACGCAAGTGTAGCCCAATCATTGTCAAGGGAACAAAAAGGTGTTGAGTCATATATTGAAAGATGCAATAAATGACACCAATATAGTATACAAAAGTCATAACGTTATTGTCGATATGAAGAACAACTACAGAATCTCGGTTAGCTATATGCAAGCTTTGGTGTGCAAAGTGTTATGCCATTCTCATGCTAAGAGGTGATCAGGATGAATCGTTTTCCTTACTTCCGATGTACTGCTATAGTTTGGAAAAAGGCTAATCCAGGGACCATAACGAGGATCGAGACAGATGAAGGGGCACGGTTTGAGCATTTATTTGTCGTCATTGGTTGTGCGGTAAAGACATTTTTATTTGTTTTTATGTATATATATATATATATATATATATATATATATATATTCATTTTAACTGAGTTTTTTTTTTCCTTCAAGTTTTGCACATTCAATCGTTCATGAATCACTCATAGTCGCTAATCGTAATAGACGGTGCTATGAATGGTCCTAGCTTAAGTACCATGTTGGCATGGACGGAAACAATCAAATTTTGCATGTTGCTTATGGGGTAGACAAGACCGATAGTGGGGACTGTAGCACATGATTTTTATCAAGGTTGAAAGAATGCATCAATGAACCGAAAAATTTGTGCATCGTATCTGATCCGACTGTTTCCATCAACATGGGCATTAGAGTTGTATTTATTACAGCGAATAACGGGCTTTCTTGTCGACATCTTGAAATGAATTTACAATTTACATACGAAAAAGACGAGTTGTTGGAAGAGATATTTTGATGCATCCGCAAAGCTTATACAAACACAATCTAATATAAATCACTAAATCAGGCCCAAAAAATCTTATCAAGCTACACAACACAATCCAATATAAACACTATTAGGCTGGCGACAATAAGGGCAAATTCGTTACCCGTTATGTTTCGACCCGTTGAATAGATGTATGAGTAAAGAAGAAACTTATCCGTTCCGTTACCCTTTTACTTGACATTTTAATGAGTAGGGTATGGATAAAGTGTTTTTCGTTATTCATTTATCCGTTTATACACACACATAAACATACATACATATAATTATATAAAATTAAATATTAATATATATTTAGAATGTTATTTCATATGTTGTATATCGTATATTAACTACTATTTAATTTTCTTTTCATATTTTATCAACTAAAAGATTTAATTAGGATAATCAAATAATAAGCAATATGGGATCATTAAAATAAATATAACAAACATAAATGTTGTCTTTAGATCTCTATATTGTTGTGTAAAATACTGCATTATAACATATTTAAAACAATATCACAATGTTTATTGGAACAAATTAGATACAAAATAAATATTATATTTATAAACTTATATTTTACTTGTATGTTGATGTTTTAACAATATTACTGTAGTTCAAAATGGTTTTTTTACCATTTATACATTACCCCTTTCGTTATCCGCTATCTTAGTGGGTAGGGTATGGACGTGGATAATTACACGTTTTGTTACACGCTATTTTAAATAGATTAAATTACTGATTAACCCTTTGCTCTACCCATTGCTAGCCCTAAATATTATGGTATGGCCGGAAAAAGGGCGGGTATTGAACAAGTATTGCATCCCAAGTGTCTGACCTGACCCCTATTTAATACCATGTCCTGACTAATCCCGTCTAGCTTTGAGAGAAGAAATCGCTCGCTGGTTTGGAGAACTTGTTGGGCAATATATTTTAAATTAAAATTACAATGAATTGTCACTACATTAATTACCAATAATGGAAATGAAATATATTTATCATTTAACAACAAAGGCTAAGGATCGTTTGAGAAGCGTAAGAAGAAAGTTGGACCATTGATCATCTTTAATCTCAAACCACCTATTAATCGCGCTTGATACGTGGATTGATTAAGTGCATCTCGGTGCATCTCATTCTAATGTGCATCAAATAGTGGAGATCCATTCTTACGATTCTTATCTTAATTTCATTCTCACCGGAACTCAATGCTAACAATAAATGTATACATATATACATATTTATACACACATTATATGCATGTATTAAATAAAACCAGAAGCATACTCGCGTAATATAGCACGATACATCTCTAGTGATGTTTCCTTTTATTATTTTTATGTGTCGATTTTGGGGTCGTGTTTCCGAACTGACACGTTCATTGCTCTACGACCGTCGCTCCCATAACTTGAAAAGAAACAAGCGGCTGCCTCAGTCGTTGAATGAACGTTGAAACAGCTCTAGACCTCTTTTCTCTGTCTCTTTCAGCAAATATTTTCGAGCATCGATTCACGCCAGGTATGTCTAATTGGCACTGTTATCAACTCATCATACACAGTTCTTGAAATAGTTTTTTCTTTTTCTATGTTTGTTTTGGATTTATTGTTCAGGGAGTTGTTAATTAATGTCTACGAACTTCGGTGCTATTGAATCGAGCTCTGATGCGGTTGTTTCGTCTGAACCGCCAACTAACGATGACATTGCTGTAAGCAACGGGGTTAAGGTTGGGGGTGATTTGGTAGAATCGAAGACTGGAACCCTAACGATGGAACCGTCTTCTGATCATGATGCAGGTGGTATTGTTGTTCAGGCTTCAATTGATGATGCTAGGGTTTCAGGAGATGAAAGAGGGGTTGTAATGGAGAATGTTTTGGATGAAAATGGGGTAAATGATGAAGAAAAGGAAGGTGAGTATAAGGTAACAGATTTAGTGTGGGCAAAGGTAAAGAGCTATCCATGGTGGCCTGGTCAGATATTTGATCCATCTGCTTCCACAGACAAAGCCAGGAAATACTCCAAGAAAAAAGGGTTTCTCATAGCATATTTTGGGGATCAAACTTTTGCTTGGAATGAAGCGTCGAAAATCAAACCATTTAGGAAGAATTTCTGTAAGATGGAGAAACAAAGTAATACAAAGTCGTTTTGTCATGCTGTGGATTGTGCTTTGGATGAGGCTTCTAGACGGATCGAGTTTGGATTGGCCTGTTCATGCTTGTCTGAAGAGGCATATGGTAAAATTAAATCCCAAGTTTTTGTTAATGCAGGGATAAGGAAAGAAGCTAGCAGAATAGATGGTGGAGATAACTTTTCTACTGTGGCTACTTTCAAGCCTGCAAATGTTGTTCAATCTGTGCAAGATCTAGCCAGAGAACATTTTGATGGGATCAATAGATTAGAGCGGTTGTCGGTGAGAGCTCAGTTATTGGCTTTCTATAGATGGAAAGGCTATCATCAGTTTACTACACACCATCTACTGGATGGATCAGATAATGAGATTGAAGATAATTCTGAACCTCCTTTAGTGGATAAAGATAAGATGGTTGAAGATGCAAAACCGGCTTCTGTAGGTGAGAAAGTTTCATCCAGAAAAAGGAAGTCGAATGCTTCTGATAGTGTTTCGCGGAAGCATCAGCATGTGCGTAATGATGATACTATCTTGAGCAAGAAAGGAAGATGCTTAAGTGTAACCAATGGGGAAAATAAGAAGAAAAATGATGGTGGGAAAAGAACAACGGTTGAGGATAATGGCATTAAGGAAGAAAATCGGAAGGGAGTTATTGATAGAAAGCCATCAAATTCTTCTCCAAGAGGGCTTTTCAGGGTTGGTGACAGCATATGTAGAATTGCTAAACAACTATCTGAGTCACCTTCGATTCTTAAGAAGGAATCCCAGACATCAAAGGTGCCATTGGTGTGTCCCCCCACAGATGAGATTCTTCCACAAGTCTGCGTAGCTGCAAAAAATCCAATGGAAGAAAATCAAATCCTGAATGCATCAGCTGAATTTTCCTCTGATTCTAAGAATTATGTCCCGGAGGAAAATTCCCAACTGGAAGAAAAGAATGATGAGAAGCGTGTGGACCAAATCGAGGAAAATATACATGGGTCAGAAGTTACAGAGGCGAGCTCACATAAGGACACTGGAGACTCTTGTTCGGCTGACAGGATAGTTCCAAGCGTCCCTGATGAGCAAGTATTTTCTGAACCCAAGTCTGTGACAATTGATACAAACCCAAAAACAAGCAAAGAGAACTCTGCAACTGCACTAATCCTTAAGTTTACCAATTTGGATTCTATTCCATCAGTAACAAATTTGAATGAGATATTTAGCCGTTATGGACCTGTGAGAGAAACTGAGACGGAAGTGATGAAGAAAAACAACTGTGCCAAAGTGGTGTTTGAGGCCCAATCAAATGCAGAAACTGCTTTCAGCAGCGCTGGAAAGTTCAGCATCTTTGGACCCTCCCTTGTCAGTTACCGCCTTGACTACTCACCAACACTGCGGAAAGCTACAGCAACTGGCAGAAGGCAAAACAGTAAGGATGGGAAATCTGTTGAGGCAAGTTCATTTGAAGAATGAGGCAGCCTAATTTAGGTACAGATTATCTTCATTCTTCTTCGTGGTAAATATATAATTCTGACTCTGAGTGAACATTTGTTTCTTGCTAGCATCAAGCCCTTAAACAAGAGAAAGATTTGAACCAATCTTTGAATTAGGCTATCGCCTGCCTAAAAGAATGGTTTATACCGATTCTCGTCTGTTCAAAGTCGTATTTATCCATCCACTGTTTAAAGCCACGGTACACAGGCTTATAGCACGTGAACACTACCTCATAAGGTTGTTGGAACCATACATGAAAGCGCTGAGTTGGTTGCTTAGGCTGTTGAGAATATCACAATTAAGTTGGTTTTAGGTTTTAGCCTTTTATTGTTGAGTAGTTTAAATGCTTTTGTATTTCATGTTCAAAATGAGAGATTTTATATGGTGGTAGTTTCTTCATCAATTGTGACTGGACTAAGAGACCGGCACTAAAACTAGTAGTTCCCTAATCAAGTTTGTATGTTTTTCTTCTTTCTACATGTATGCATTACCTTAAGATAGACATGTCTTGTTATTATCCTCTTGTGTATTTGAAAGTTTCTAAGGTTCATGTTTCAGAAATCTGTGCGAAGTTTAGGTATTTCTGAAGTGGGGTTTTAAACTGCAAGTTGGACATGCTACTTGTGCTATTTTACCCTCTGTCATTTCTTTATCCTTATCTTCTCATACCTTTACTTTGAGTAGTAGCGTCCTGCACGCTTGATGTAGCTATATGCAACTAAGAATATGGGTCTCTTGTGGCCTATGTGCATTTACCTATGATAATGGAATTCCTATATGTAGCATGTGATCCCACTTCACTTGGTCGACCTACATATGTTTATTTTGAGTTCTCTTAATCAATATTCAACACCTATATACATATAGCTTGTTTTATGCTACTACTGCAAGCAGTAAATTTCATTTGAAATTGAAGTTTATATCATGTACCCATGCTATAGACAAACCCTAACAGTAGTATACATTTTTGTTTTAAAAATATTAGAAGATAAGATTGTTGATTGAGCAACGGCTTACATAGACGTTGTTCGTTCTCATGCTCCTTCCATCCCGAAAAGAATCAACCTCTGATTTCAAATATTACCACAATTGTATTGATTGTAGATGGACAAAGGGTAATTTTACAAAAAGTGTGTACTGAAAACTTGCATTATGCTAGTCTGTAACTAAAAACCGTGTACTCCGTTTCAACAGGTGTGAAGATTAAGATCAAATGACATGGAATTTGAGGAAGAAAGTGTCGGTGTTTCCAAAAGTTGGTTGATATGTTTGAAGACCTTCAGTTTAAACTGGTAATCAAATGCATAATAAACTGGTAAATCTCCATCCATACTATGCAGTTGAAAATGGATCTTGTTATAGACTTTGGAGCTAGTTGTAGATTGGAATTGCAGGTAGTAAGAAGAAGAAATAAGTTTATGGTTGTTTTTCGTGTATGTATTATGAGTTGATTTAGTATTACAAGCAGATTTGATTTACACGCATGGATATGGGCACATGAATGGACCTTCATTTCAAACGAAGTCGGTTTTAGGTTAACAAGTAAAATAGAATTTGACTTGGAATTGCCTACGAGGTATTTGATTGAATCGAATGTTGTAATGGATGCATGTGATTGTTGTCGTATTTCTCCCTTCTTTTTGTTCAAAACACAATTACATGAACGATAATTCATTATTTTGACGATGCTTGTTGACGATGCTTGTTATCAACTTTCATCCATGGACAAATTTGTCAAGTTTCGGTGATTTAGAAAGAATTAAAAGCACCAACATACTTTTAAGCATATATACTCCGAAGCAAGTCCATAAAAATGGGTTATTATCCCTAAACTTTTTTTTCATAAAACAGCCAAAACAATGCCAAGTCAACGCTACAAGCTGCAGCATGTCCCTCGCAGTGCCATAAGCTGCAACTTTGGCTTGTTTTTTGTGTGTCGACGAACGTGATTGCACTATACGAGATTCTTCAAGATCCAAGATATATCTTTGCCCAGTTCATAAAGAAACATTGCAAACGATTCTCCAACCACACCAGCACAAGCATTTAATCCACACCAGGAAGAAACAGTAGTTATCTAAATGAATTGTGTTTTACCAAAATCACAGTACAAATTGAAAACAATTGTCTGCCCTCTGCAAACACAGAGCTAAAAATCAAAACATGTGAAATCTTTAACAAACATATCAAAACTAAGACTTGATAGCCGAATACAACCACTCTGAAAACTTAAGATCTTGGCTTCTCCTTCTTCTCCTTGAAAAGAGCCAAAAGTGAAACACCAGAAACCTTCACAACTTTAAACCTGACTCCGGGAATATCTCCCACTGCATGACCCTTTCGCCCGAATCCAGCAATCAAAACTTCATCCTGTCGAAAGAAAAAACAATTACGGGTTAAAAGACCCTCAAGAAAATGAAGCATTTTTGAAGGAATCAAGAAGAACCCACGTTTTCTTCGATGTAGTTCAAGCAACCATCGTTGGGAACAAAAGCGGCAATCTTTTTTCCATTCTTGATGAGTTGAACTCTGGCACACTTTCTGATAGCAGAGTTAGGCTGCTTAGCTTCAATACCACTGCAGACGACATAGGAACAACTTGTCAAATTTCAACTAAAAAGCGAATGCGACTATTAAAATTGATAAACGAAGAAAGAGTTTTACATTTTCTCAAGGACAATCCCCTTAGCGTGAGAAGAACCGGCAAATGGTTTCTTCCATTCGTTACCAAGGTGAGACTTCTTGTATGATTTGTCAGCCCACCTTTGCCTCCTGCGGTGGGACTTCAACTTGCGACCAGCTCCCATTCCATGTGTCTTTCTACAAGATGATTATCCAAGGGCGAATTAATCAAAGGTGATGAAGCAAATGTTTTGAATCGTTACATAAATTATCTTTCAGAAAGCACAGGCAACTATAAGAATTACAATACTGGCATGAATCATATATACACCAATCGATTCAAAGCATAAAAGACAGATAACCGATCAGAAAATTCATACACTGATCCAGTTCAAGTTGATGGAACTGCCAAGGATTTCGCTGTACTTCATTTCTAATATACATCTAGTCTAGTTATATTGCAAAATAATCAGCACCAACATCAATCAAGACCATATAAAATTAAACAATAGCACAGAATATCTAACAATGCTTCCTTAATAACATTGCATAATGTAGCATTACAAGATCAACATAAGTCTAAATTCCTTCAAGTCACACAAACAATATAGATTTCATTAAATCCACCAACAAGTGGTGAAAATGACCTAAAAAGCACCATAAACTTTCCCTGTAATCAAACACAAGTGATTTTCATCAACATCCCAACAAGATCCATACGTATACGTACATACATACATATATAATATTTGTTGTTCTTTCTCACTGTTGTTCGTTCACATCTCTTCCAATCCTAGTTCAATCAAACCAAATAAAAGATGACAAACACCGTGACTAATATTGAATTAGTAAAGAACTATCCAAAAGACAAGCAAAAACCACTCCGAGATCTTAATATCATTTCAAATAACAATCAATGGAAAATAGTAAACCATAATCTGCGACACCTATTTCATAGGCCTCAGATGGAACATATTGTTTACTTGCTTCGCGTAATATGTTCAATTATCAACCAAAATGTAGCTAATCTACTTCTATCGTATAATTCATAACCATATTGGCAAAAACAGAGGACAATAAACACATTGGATGAGAAAATTAAAATGAACCATATCAATGGAGGTTATACATACCCCATGTTTGCGAGATTGAGTGATCCGCTGACGGCGCGTAGATTCCGGTCGAGTCCCTGAAGAAGAAGAAGCAGCAGCTGCCGTCTGATGGAAAACCCTACACGAATGCGGCAGCGATCATCGTCTTAAATGGGTGGCCAGGTGGGCGTGGGTGTGCGAAACTTATTGGGCCAAACGATACTACATACTAGTTTCAGTTTTGGGCCGCTAGTAAAAGAGCTATTCTTCTCGTAAATTGGGCTGGACTGAGGTAAATTATTTGTAACGAATATAATAAGGATATTATTAATTGTTGATTTGACATCCGCAATTTATTTATATTTATATTATAAAGTATTTGACAAAAAAAAATTAAAAATTATTTTTTATGTATCAAGTACTGTTTATTGATTAATATTACTTAAAATTCAAGATTACAAGTGGATTATTTGTAAGTACAACTTATTAAAACTCAAATTTAAATTTAACTAACGAATTGTAAATAAACATAATCAAATACATGATAAATATCTAACTTTAAATATAAAAAATTAAAATATAATTAGGATAATCATTGACTTCTAACTTAACACTTAATTATTATCTTTATAAAAWRTTATATTATTAAACCRAAAATAAATTAYTTYRTTAGTAAATTTAAATTAAATTATAATAAAAATTTGAAGTAAAGAAATTACATAAAAAACATGAACTTTTAAATAGTTAATTTTATACTAATATCGATATATTTTTTCAATATTTTATGAGATTTTGAATTTATATTTTATTCAAACATAAAAACATTATCACTTTATCAAAACCACATAAACCGTGTTATAATATTAACAGAGACAAAAAAAAAACACTAAAATCAAGATGTATCACACTCCATTACACGAATACTTTTACAGTCAATATTAAATTAAAAAGAAATGCTTGATGTCATGAAATTTCATTTAAGTAGTTATATTTTCTTTTGGATAATCATCGATTTTTGAATCAACTTATATACACCAACTAATCTCTAGACGACCACAAACAGTTTGAAGGCATCGCAGATGAACCTCCGTGACCGAAAGAGCTTTGGGAACGTCTGGATTCGAGTCCGAATTATATGAGATTTTCTATTACACCCTCTTGAAACTTAACCGGTAACAGTGAACTTGAATAGTTAAAATGATATTTGAGTTGTATATAATTTATATGCATAAAATCAAGATTTTTTTTATTACACGATTTAAAGAATTTTGAAAATCTTAGCGTATATTTATTAAGATTTGAATTTTGTCATGGGAAATATTTGATGAGACTTAGGTCCCGTTTATTCAACGCTTGCCTGGGTAAGCGCTTACCAATTCACTTTACTTTGCCGGATGAATATGACAATGACTAAAAAGCTTACCCGGTAAGAGCGAAGGCAAGAATCCTGAGTCTTACCCGGTAAGTGAGGACGAGAACACTTACCATGGTTAACGCTTATTGGGATAAATTGTCGCATACGATGTGTTTTAGTGGATAAAATCTTATCCGGTAAGTAAACAATAATGTTGAATTTTATCGGTAAGTGCTTACTCGGTAAGTGTTTAGGTAAACGACCCCTTAATAAGGTTTTAAAAACATAAACCCATATATTATTATCGTTTTTTAAAATAAATAATATACATTTAATATCTATTTTTTGTTATTTACAGAAAAAGTTATTTTTAAATAATATATTGATACACTGTTGCTTTTTATTGTTAGCAAATATGACTGAATGGTCGTTTATCTAAACACTTACCCAGTAAGTGTTTAACGGTAAAATTCAACTTTATCGCTTACTTATGGGTAAGATTTTAGTCTATCAAAACGATATTGTAAGTAACAATTTACCTGGTAAGCATGAACCGTAGTTAGAGTTGTCGTCATCACTTACCGGGTAAGACTCTTGATCCTTGCATTGGCTCTTAACAAATAAGATTCTTGGTCCTTGTCATATTCATCCGGTAACAAAATGTGACTTGATAAATGCTTACCCGAATAAACATTTGGTAAACGACATCTGAATCTTGTAAATTAATTAAATAAAATACATGTTATTTTTAAACAATAACTAAAAAATGGAGGAATTCTACCAGCCAAATTCGTCAGCATCATCAATACAACATAACGTACCACCAACACAATCCATTTTCATCATAAAACACTATGTGAATCTTGTTTTCATGCAAATATGGTCAATGACAGATCCAGGAATTTTATAAACTGAAGTCCCGTGAAAAATTCTACTGAAAAAAGTGAAGATAAGTTCTGTAAAAAATAAATTTTAACCTAAGTAATATTTTTTTTAACTTTTTGACTGGGGTCCCCCCTTTATACCATGTCTTCGCCCCTGGTGAGGACTACCATCCAAATCCACCATTTCTGCCATCAATGACGGTGTTTCTTCTCTTTACAGTATGGTGTAGCACACGTCGACAAATAAATGGTTAAAATGATGTGTTTTTAGAAACTCGTAACATACAATTTTTGTTTATTTTGTTCAATCAATTTTAACTGGTAGTTTCTGTTGATTAGTTTGAGTTGTCGTCCATTTATATCTTCAATAATTAAAAGTGTTAAGTGTCCAACAAAATGGTCTCTTATTAAGAATGCTTGTATTAGGCTATTACTTTCGTCATCACAGTACTATCAGGTTACTACTGTCGTCATCACAACTGTCACCCCCACCTTCCCCCACTTTTGACCACGAATATCACCATACCACTAATGTGGTCGTAACAACTACCACCCCTACCGTCTCCTTAGTAACAACTACCACTTGGGGCGGACTTACATGGTAAGTAGGAGGAACGGGACCCCAACCCAATTAAAAAAATAAAAAATTACAAATTCCTTGAAACAGTGTAATTAGACTAAAAACATGTCGGACGACTTTGTGGGTCCTTAGTCTACCTTAAAGAACATCTTCTCGGACAAAGATGAAGATTCCAACTCTATATGCGAACCAAATGTCTCTTTATAGTTATATCTATGAGATATCGAAACCATCTTAGGGGCCGTTTATCAAATGCTTACTCAGGTAAGCGCTTACCAAGTCACATTATCTTACCGGATGAATATGATAAAAACCAAGAATCTTACCTCGTAAGAGAGAAGACAATGACCAAGAGTCTAACCCTGTAAGTGATGACGACAATTCTTACCACGGTTATCGCTTATCGGGTAAGTTTTTACATACAATATCATTTCGGTAGACTAAAATGTTATCTGGTAAGTAAGTGATAACGTTGAATTTTACCATTAAGCGCTTACCGAGTAAGTGTTTAGGTAAACGGCCCCTTGCTCTTGAAAAGAATTTTAAAGAAAAAATAAAGTTTCAACGGATATAAACAGAAATCAATCAAAGTCTAGTCGATCCGAACTCCCACCGTAAAATTTATACAATTCAAACAAGTAGCATTACAATTATCCTGTATAAACGCAGTTTCCTCAACAACATGTAAATTAGCATTTTATGTACTTATAACCTATTTAACAATGGATCATACATATAAAAGAACATACGCCAGATCAAATGAAATCTACTTCTGACCTTTCTTCAACAGCACTCCGATCTTCTTCAACATGTTGCTGGTTTTTTTGTTCGATGATTCATCCTCTGTATCTTCCGAATATGGCGAAGAATTCGATTGGAAATCAAACGACTCCACAAACTTCCCATCTCCACCATTACCCAACGCCATAGCCGCGGCCACCTCCGCCGCCTTCCTCCATTGTTCCATTTGCACTTTCAGCCTCCTTATCTCACTCTCCATCTCAGCATTTGCCGCCACCACCGCTTCTTCTTCCGTCAAATTTCCGGCATCTCTTGATTTCACCATATCCAATTCTTCTTGAGTTTGACTAACGAGTTCCAAAGCTCGGGCTTCAGAATCCTTCGATTCATTCAATTGGATCTTGAGTTCTTCAACCAGATCTAGAGTTTCCGAAAGTTCTAGCCTTAGCGTCTGCACCTCTTCGCCATGCTTAGCCTGATTGGCTTCAGTTTCCCCTATTTTTTGAAGCTGAATTCTGAGTTTCTGGTTCTCATTTATGACAGCGGCTAATGTGGCTGTGTCCATGGAGTGGTGTTTCTGGACGGCTTTCAGCTCGGACTCCCATGCTCGGTCTCGATCCTGTGAGATTTTCCGGAGTTCCTGAATTCGAGATTCTTCACAAGCCCAAAGCTCGTCAAGTTGTTGTTGAGACTCCTGGAGCTTGGCAGACATAGCCGACAGATGCTTCTTGGCTTCTTCGGCTTGGTGGTGAGCCCGCTTCTTACATGACTCTGATTCATTCAGCTGCTCCTTTGATTTCTTGAACTCTTCTTGAAGCTGAGCAAGCTGAATTTCCAATTCAGACACTCTGCCAACACGTTTCTTCTGCAGTTTTTGAGAACGTTATGTAACAAGTTTTATAAAAATTAGTGGAAAAGCTGGATGTTATAAAAATGACTTAAAAAGGGTGTTTGGGATTGCTTATTTGAAACATTTTATATTTTTTTTACAAAAACACTTATCAACTTATCACAAGTCATAAGGGTTTAACTTATTTAAAAACTTCTTATTACTGTTTTGGCACCGGTATAAGTTGTTTATCCAAACACTCAAAAGTGCTTATTACCGGTGCCACATCGGAATAAGTCAATAAGTTGTTTTTATAAGCAATCCCAAACACCCCCTTAAAACACATTTAAAAAAATTAACTGGAAAACTATAAATACATAATTGGAAAAAAAAGCCCGGACAACTTATTGAAATCTTACTCAAAAAATATAATTTATAAGGTAGTTTATGGCTATTTAAACGGGCTTTTTTAATAAGCTCAAAAATAAGTTATCTTTTAGTTGTCAAAGATGGCTTAAGACCATTTTTTTCCTTGTCAAACACATAACAAACGATCATTCATCGTTTATTTCAGATATAATATGTATCTATACAGAGGGTGGTGTACCTCGGATGTTGGAGCTCGTTGTAATCGATGGTCAACAGCTTTAGGACTTCTACTTCCCGAGCTTCGGAGGGAAGCATTGTCATGGTTTGCTCCTGAAGTCTTGAGTTTTCCGGTAAGTCCTTGCCTTCCTCCTCTGTTTTTCCAAGCAAGTCATGTAAGATTCATTTGGCCCTCATCCCAGATAAAAAAAAATACATTTGCAATTTAGAACGACGGTAAATAAAAATTTCTTCGAACAATTTACCCTTGATTAAACTAAAAAAGGGTATTATAGTGAAAAATATTTGATTAAACATGGAAAGTACAAGGTTTGGCATAAAAAATAAGTACTATTGCAACTTAAAATGGCCGTTTCGATCTTGTAAAACATACTTTGCAACTTAGAATGACGGTAAATATGATTTTTCTTTGACCAATATACCCTTGATTAAACATTAACAAAAGGGTATTATACTGAAAATAAATATTTGATTAAATATGGAAAGTATAAGGTTTAACATCAAAAATCAGTATTTTTACAACGTAAAAATGACGGTTTCAATCTTATATTTCTATTAACATAAAAAAAGATGAGAGCACATACCTTGTCTTGGAATGTTGCATTGTCTAAACTACCCTTCAACCCAAAGTACCTACTATGGTTTTGGGAGGAATACTTGAGAGAAACAAGATTTGTCACATATATGTATGCTATCTCCAAGTAAAAGGGTACCAATGAATGATGTCACCATGAAAACCCTAATTCAATCAATGCCCAATAACGAAAACAAACAAATGGTCAAATCTACCCTTTTCTACATAGCTTAAAATCAATAAATCAAGATAAAGGTACAAAACTTGATGCATAAAGTACAAGTAATTGCAGCATAATTGCTCTGGAAAGTGGGTTTGTGGCAAGCATCAACACAATCCTTTGAATGAACTCCACACCTAATTGGAACTAACCCCACTTCCACCAACCAAATTCACAACACAAGGGAAATTAAAAGAAAAGGGCAAAAGTGGAAGAAAGACAAATGTTTTATACTTTTTGGCCTTTAACTTCCCTTTTACTCTTGATTTACTCATGCTTTCAATTAAAGACATTATTTATTTGCTCAATAATCATGTCAAATAAATTGAAACATGATGATCTAATTTTAGACTTAATTTAAATAAGCAGGTTACCTGTTTTTTACTTAACTGGTAACGACATTAATACATACGATTCTTTATATCAAATAAAAAAAATAAGAGACAACATTTATTCGTCAACAATTGTATTTAATGTATAGAATCTTGTTGATTTGTTTCTTTATATTAAAAAATCCACACATTGCACGTATACATCGGGTAACATGTGTTGCTTACTGAATTTATTCCTTTTTTCAAAATAAATTCGATGATATAAATTACTACATACTGACATATAAAATTAATTGACATTTGATGTTCACGAGATGATATTTTCTTTTAATAAAGGGAATGATGTTTTTCTTGGACGATTATTTACACGTTTGTGATATTTAAGCAATTTGGATAAAAAGTTGATTACCGAGAACCCTAATTGGACTCATACAGAATCGTCTTCAAAGACATCAATGTATGAGACATTTTTTTTTTTGCTCACTCAACAGCTGAGGGCTGAGTGAGGCTAGTTGAGGGCCCAAAATCAAACCTGAAACTTGTCTTATATTTGGACAAAGTTAAGGTTATTAAATTCATTTCTATGTGTTTGTTGCATCGTCATTTTCATAAGTTTTGACAAATAAAAATTAGTAACGACTTGCGTTTTAAACTTCCTAAAAAAATATCCGTTAAAATTAAATAACAAATCATGTGAAATTTATAGATGTTTGACTTTTTAAACAAGTGTTCGTTATAAGAATTTATAACGAAAATCTTATAAGATATAACTTTTAGTTAGAAATACATTTTTATTGCATAAAGTAAAAAATATATATATAAATGTATTTGCAATGAAATATGATTTTGGAATGATTTGTCTAAACAATAAGGGTAGTGTTTGATTGGTTTGAACTTGAGCTCCAAAGGTCAAAAGTGCTTGGAAGTCTCGGGTTCAAATTCAAGAAGAAATAAAAATTCTCTTATGGCCACGGAGGTTCAAAAACGATGACTTCGAGCTACCTACAACGCAAGTGGTCGTCCTGTAATTAATCGGTTTAAATAGCAGATTGGATATCTAGGTTAATTAAAAAAAAAATTATAATATATGTTTGGCCCATGTTATGCTGCATTTAATATGCATTAAATTGTCAATATTAGTATAGATTCGTATTAATTGGTCTCATTTTTTAATATACCAAATTTATCCGTTTCTCAATAAATTCAATTTTGAACAAAATGTGAACAAACAATTTAATATTTCCAATTTTCTGAAACAAAATACATTGAGAAAATGTTTTTTTTAATTGTTATTTTAATAACACAGTTAATAGTTTATAGTTTGAAAATAATCCATTTAAAGGTTTATAAGTTGGAAAACGTTTATTTGAGTGAGTTGGGTTTCAGTGAGAAATAAAGTTGTGATGAAAAGTGTAAAAGAAGATCTTCACCCTTTGATAAATCATAATTGAATGTTAACACTACTGAGATGTACCGAGATGCACCGGATCAATTTTTTTGTAAAGCGTAATTCATGGGTAGCATGATATTGAAATTTATCAAATGTTTAAATCTCTTCTTACGTTTCTCACCATAACTTTCATTCTCACACGATCTTTCGCCTATTTAAGTATCTTATTTGACTTTTACGGTTATTGTTTCTCAAAATAGTTATGTTTCAAAAGAAAACATATTTTTTCGTTGACTTTTTATTTTTCTTTGAATAGGATGGGTTTTTTTTTAAGATATTCCATTTTTTTAGTTTTTGGCATTGCAAAGTAAGTCATGAAATTTACGATGAATTCGATGAACGAATGATATTTTATGAATATTTTTATCCGTGAAATAGTGATCTTTTGTAAACATTTTAATTTCTAATATTATAACTTTCAGTAAATATATTTGATTAAATTTACAATGTTTAAATGATAAAAATATTAAAATTAAAAATACAATGTTGTAATAGAAATTGATAATGTTGTAATAAAGTAATTTTGAAAGTATAATGTCATAATAAGAAATGTCATGTCAACACTATCGTACATGTGGATAGCCTACATGGACGATGAGGTGACAAAAAAACCTGGTGTAATAGATAAATTTAATTTAAAATATTACTCAATGCTATAACGGGTAAATTTTTTAAAGTACGATGCTCTAATAAAAAAATATTTTGAAAGTACATTGTTGTAATAAGAAAAACTGGAAATAAAATGCTAGTATAAGAAAATTTATATTAAAATTAGGTTGTTATTTTGTGCATTTTCCCCATTGAAAATTAGGATCGTTTTCGAATAGATGAAGGCTCCAAGTCGCTATTTCTCGCTACAAGACAAAAACCTATAAGAAGAATAGTGTACTCGTAACCTTGTATGTTCAAATTAATTACATTGTTTTCAGATATTTTTAATAAAATTAATTAATTTACATTATTTATTTCAAACAATTGGATAGGAAAATAGATTTTTGTCGTAAGACGAACGATCGTATGATAATATGAGTTAAGATGAGAAGTGTAAAAAATGATTGTCCTTGATCGATTTTAATCCCAAAACAATTCATGAATTACGTGTTATAAGAGAATTGATCCAGTTTATCGCATTAGTGTTGATCAAGTGATTTTCTTTAATTATGATTGATCCAAGGGTAAAGATTATTTTTCTTATCTTCTCATGATAACTTTCATTCTCACCGGAACCCAACCTTATTTGATAATTTGATATAGATAAGATTATGAAAATATAAGGTCTCAAACTCACCTTCAGTCCTTCTGATACATGACTTAAACTTTCCTCACACTTACACCTGTAGTAAGGATCATTATTATTTGCTTGTGTTGTATAAAATGACGTGAAATTGACAAAACTAGTTCATTTACCCGAATCAATTCACTTTATAATCACTGTTAAAAAAGCAAATTCTTTAAATAGCTACATTTTATGAAAAACTAGTTTTCCAAATTTAAAAAAAAAAAATTGATATTTACGCATATGCCTAAAAAGTTTGCGTGAATATTGATATTTAATTACATTTTATACAGTTGTAATTAGTTACTTAATTTACTTTATATCCTTAATTTTTCATTTTACACATTTATCAGATTATCATACATAAACCGTATATTAACTAAAATACATCAATAAAATATGTTTCTCTGTTTACAAATTATATAATTACAATCATCTCATCAATACCTTTAAAATGAGTCAACTACTGACTATCTTTTGAGATGAGTCTAGGAAAAGTATATTAGAACGACGAGTCTGAACTCTAAACCACCATAAATATCGTGTGTCATTTCTAAAAAAAGCGCCACAGTATCACGAAAGAAATCAGACATAAGATGTTGATAAGAGTTATTTTATAAAAAAACAAACAATGCCTAAATGAATATGAAGACATCAAACATGCAACCCGGATATAAAGTTGTAAATTGCTTTCAACTTTTAATCAAACACACGTTATGAGTTAAAAACCCCCGGTGTTTAAGAACAAAATGCATGTATAAGACGTGAACTCTTGACGGACAATTGTAATTGGTGAAAATGCTGATAATTGACACTATGACGAAGGAACCCTCAATTATGAAACCCAGAGAGAATTTGATTTGCAGATTGACAGAACAAGAAGTAATTAAAAAGTCAAATTCCATTCGCTTAATTTCTTCGTGTTATTTGGTCTGTAAAACAAATGAAATTCAATCTTGACGTAATTCAATCCCAATGCATAAAAAAAACGATTATTCGTTTAAGTGCTGAAATTCAATATTATTATTATTTTTTAGAGCAAAGTAGCAAACTACAAATTTTGTCCCTGTGGTTTGTTGAAGATACCACATTTCATCCTTTTAATTTTAAAATTATAAGATGACCAACATGTAAAAAGGTTTGAATTAGTCATACCCTCTAATCTATACTATATTATAAAACATTTGATAAATACTCTTAAAAACTATTTTTTATGCATAAAACACTGTATATTGATATATATTACTTAAAATTCGAGGTTACAAGTAAACTATACGTAAGTACAATTTATTAAAGCCTCATGTTTGAATTCGTGTAACTAACTGCAGATAAACATAATCAACTACATGTTAAACATCTCATTTTAAATATAAAAAATCTAAAATATAATTAGGATAATCATTGAGTTATACTTATAAAAGAATACTTAATAAACGTCACGTAGACCAAAAATAAAATTGATATTGTTTTTATTGTTTTACCCATTTTTTTGTCTTGTATTCAATAAACGTCACATAGACCAAAATCATAAAATTGATAAAAGGATACAATGTCCTCATTTAATGTATTTGTTTTAACGACCGTTAACTATCTTATAATTTTAAATTTATAAATAAAGAAAGTGTTATTTTTTTTTTGATTAATCTAGATATCCAACCCGCTATGCGAACCGATTAATTCCAGAATGATTACTTGTTTTGCAGATAGTCTGGAGTCATCGTATTTGAACCTCCATAACTATAAGAAGATTTTTATTCCTCTTTGAATTTAAACCTAAAACCTCCTGATATTTTTGACATTTAGAATGAAGCTCGAACCAACCAAAAGTAAACATGAATTTAAAAAAGAATTTCAGTTTCCATTTGCTGAATTAAAAAGTGTCGAAGAGAATAGTAATAATGATATAAAAAGAAGGGGATTACTCCGTTGACGCCAGAGCATGCATCAGATCCTGCAAAATGACCCCACCACCGACCTTGCTTTACCCCACCCCCAAAACTAGGAAAATAATCTAAGTTTCAATCAAAATCTCAATCCCACAGAGAGTTTTTGAATCTGCAAAAACGCTTTACATCAAGACCGGAGCTCGAGGATATCTCCTTTGATGGCCGGAATCATGTGAATGAATGAAAACTGAAAACTGTTTTGAACAATCAAGGCAAAACGCCGACCACTTCTGAAATGACGGTTTTTATTTGATGCGGTGTCATATTGTACTACTGTACTATCTTGTCGTAAAGCAAAAAGTGGAGAATAACCCCTTTATGGCGTAGGGTTTATGCAATTTTCTGTTTTATTTATTCATAGATTGAATTTCACGCTTGTAAAGCTATTGTTCCTACTCAGATTTTGGTCTTTATCTTCTCATTCAAGCAAATCTGTACAAATGCCTTTTTTGATATGTTTGTTATATGTTGAGTCTGTTTTATCTGAAAATGGATTGCTGCTATTTGGAAATTAGAAAGTGAAGATGCTATCGAGGTGGTGGTGGTGAAGCTGGTAGTCAACTTGAAGAAGAAGAAAAAAAAGAAGGTAAAATGGAGGAGGTGGGGAGATCGAAATCATGGACGGAGGAGCTAGCGAGTCTGGTGGAGGACACTGGAATACGATATACCGGTGGTGGCGATCACACTGTCAGTAGCCTCTCAACGCCGTCCTTTGAGTTGAAGACGGTGTTGGAAGGGGAAGGGGAACGGGTGGAATCCGAGAGCTTTAAGGATCAAATGAAAGGGTTTGCCAAAGCTTGGGGAGAGATAGCTATTGAATTAGGGAAAGGGTGTAAGGATGTAGTTCTACAGAGTGTGTTGACTGATGATTCTTATATAGTGAAAAAAGTGAGAGGGCCGTCCAGAGTGGTTGCCGGAAAATTGAGTGTTTTGAATGACTTTTTGCCGGAGGATCGTGATCCCGTTCATGCCTGGCCGGTGATATTATCCGTTTTCCTCATTGCTCTGTCAGGTAATTTCGATATTGAGCGACTTCACTTCATCTATATCTTGTGAGCTCAGTGTGAAATCTTATGTACTGTAAAATTTGAGCAGAAACAGATATTGAAAGTGAATTTCCATACAGGAAATTGATTTTTCAGGAACTTCTGGTGGATTTTGGGACTAGTAAGATTAGGGGCTGGTTGGTTGGTTTTCCATGAGTCCTATATGGATAAAGCCGTCTGTGTGGATTAACCTGTCCTTGTAGATTGGGAAGGTTTTTGTTTTGGGGTGTTTTTTTATAGACGGAAAGAGCATGGCAGGGGCAGGTTTGGAACAAACTTAGCTTTCTGCATAAAACTCTCCTATATCTTACCGAATAAGCCACTTTCTGTATCATTAAGCCTCTACCAAACAGTCATGTAGCTGACCGAATAAACCGTGAGTCCCGTTAAGCTCATTAAGCTGCTAGCAAACAGGGCCTGAGAGTCTTTTATGTCAAAACTTTAGTATTCTTTGCTATGTCCAAAAACAAGTCTAATGAATATCTAGCATTACATTCCCATTTGAAGATTTAGAGCATTGTCTTTTCTGTTGAACTCTTTGGTTCTTGCTTGTTTTGGGGGGTTGTTTCGTTTTGTTCAATTTCCAGTTGGTTTACTAACATCTTCCAAGGAACAGGCGAATGCAGATAGTTTCTTAAGAATACTTGTAGGGCTTTTGTAGCAATAAACTTAATATTGTCAGGATAACTATTATGTGTAGTTAAGATGAGATTGCTCAAGTCCAAGGGGAATGTTAGTGTATGTTTTAGTGTTAGTAAACAAAGTAATAATATCCTCTGGCTTATCAGCACATTCTTATTGGTCCAGTTTGTTGGAGTCCCATGTCTGCTAGACTTGGACCATTTGTCCTCAACATATGTTGGGACCTCCTTTCTCTCCTGAAAGTCTTTTTACAGAGAGTAATTTAACGTGGTCCCACATATTCTCACATGGTATTAGAACCAAAGTTTGCAATTCTAGGGACTTGTCACTCTGGGGCAATTTGTACTCGTCTGACCCCCTCAGGATACTCTACCGCAATATGTGCCCATCTAGCCTCTGTTGGAGGAGGCATGTTGGAGTCCAGCATGAGCTAGACTTGGGCCAGTTATCCTCAATATTTGTTGGAACCTCCCTTCTCTCCTTAAGGGATTTTATTGAGAGTGATCTAATGGAGTTCTACATACGCAATTGTTTGTTTCTCTCAGCTAATATAGCGAGTTGGAAACTGATATTTTAGAAATCACTTGCCTGCTTGGTCCCAGATGTTAGGTGAACTGGGATCAAGAATCTGTTGAACTTTCAGAGCTTATACATTAAAGCTGCTAATACCAAGTAGAAAAGGAACCGTACATAAATAGTTGGCCTATTCGCTTAATAGGAGGTACTGCCAATTATTTGGAAGAATGTTCATCTTATTTGATGACATGGTGTCGGTTATAGTGTCGTGTAACTTTAATTTAACCCTAATATTTATTTTCTTCCTTTTGCTGTTTGGAGCGAGATATTTTTTTTAAATGTTCAAAATACATACACCCTATTAGTGGCAACTCTCAGTCTCACAATCACCGGGACTTTATATCCAGAAGACTCTCCCAGATCATCACGTTGGTTTAAGTAATCACTTCATGCATTCAGAAGAACATTTGTTACTGGAGTTTTGTCCTTTTTTCATTCCTCACTAGTTGGACCAGTTTAACATCTTCTCAATGTTGTTACATGTTGCAGTTTTAAGTGTGAATATTAAATATGACAACACTCCAGTTCCACTTGTTCGAGTACATCCTCCTAGCGCTAGGCGGATATTACTTCCCGATGGTAGAAACATGTCATATCTTGAGCAAGGAGTTTCTGCCGACAGAGCTAGATATTCCCTCGTTGCTGCTCATAGCTTTCTGTCTTCTCGGCTTGCAGGTAAAAATGGTTACTTAACTACTCTTTCTTGTAACTAGATTAGAGAAAGCCATTTGTTCCCTACTTTCTGGGGCCTTCTTTTCTGCAGAATGTTTATAAAGAAGGATGACTCTCCTTTTACAGGAATACCAGGCATTAAATTGTCACTGCTGGAAGAATTTGGCGTCCGATTGGTAACCTATGATCTTCCTGGGTTTGGGGAAAGTGATGTGCACCCAAATAGGACTCTTCACTCATCGGCGATGGATCTTTTACACTTAGCGGAAGCTGTTAAAATCGACAACAAATTCTGGGTGCTGGGATATTCGAGTGGGGCTATGCATGCTTGGGCTGCCTTAAGGTACATACCTGGTAAAATTGCAGGTGAGTTTACCTTCCTAGACTTCTAAGATACTACCACTTTTTTAGTTATGAAATGCTTAATATTCTCAGACTGCTTCAGACCTTGAGGGCCAGCTCAATTGCAAATAAAGGCTCTTGGGGCTACTCCCCATAGGTAGCCTGGTTGTTATCTTCATGGCCCCATGGGATTAGTCGAGGTGTGCACAAGTTGGCCTTGACCCCCATGGTTACCAAAAAAAGATGGGCAAAATAACACGATGCCATAGTTTTTGCCTACCAAAATGCTTAATATTCCCTTAAAGAAGAAACGTTAATCAGAAACGTAACTTGTAAAGATGGATAGATATCACATTGGAAACCATAATGTGATTTCAACAGGTGCAGCGTTGGTTGCTCCAATGGTTAATCCATATGACCCGGGCATGATGAAGGAAGAGAGGTTAGGAACTTGGGAGAAGTGGATGAGAAGAAGGAAATTGATGTATTATTTAGCTCGACAGTTTCCGAGATTTCTCAGGTTCTTCTACCGCCGAACTTTCCTTTCTGGAAAACACGGGCCTATTGAAAAGTGGCTGTCTTTTTCCCTTGCAGGACAGGTGAAGCTCATTTTAACCTTGTAAATATATTTCATTTTTGAAACTTTGACCTCATCCATGACTGCTAAACGGTGAATGAACCGAGACTTGCTGTCTTGGAGTGAACATAACCTTACTACCCGGCATGAGATTCTTGATTTCCACAGGATAAAGCTTTGACTGAGGATCCAGTTTTTAAAGAATTCTGGCAAAGGGACGTGGAGGAGTCGATTAGGCAGGGAAATGTGAAACCATTTTTAGAGGAAGCCGTATTACAAGTGTCGAATTGGCCATTTAGTCTGACAGATCTACAAGTGCAGAGGAAATGCCCACAGAAAGGCTTGTTTCATTGGTTCAACTTCATGTCCAGTGAAGCAGAATGCGAATTAGTTGGATTTCAAGAACCAATTCATATATGGCAGGTTTGCAATCTTTTCACAACTTATGTTTGTTGCTCGTGTTCAATCCTTTTGGCCATTGTTTTCATGGTGTTTTTAAATTCAATTCGTGAATAGGGAATGGAGGATCTGGTTTGTGGCAAGGTCATCGACTATGTGGCTCGTGTTCTACCAAGTGCTATTGTGCATAGACTCCCTGATCAAGGCCATTTTTCTTACTTGTACTTGTGTGATGAATGCCATAGAACGATACTATCGACTCTCTTTGGAGAACCACGAGGTCCCATCGAAGGTTCTTTAGAAGAAGAGGATCAAGATAACGACCCCCCAATCCTCCTCAACTAAACTGACTTCAATTTCCAGTTTTAGATATTTTGGTTACGTAGCATATACTTCACAGGTTTTTATCTCGAAAGAGGTTTTTATGTTGCAAGAAAAATTGTTGTGTTATTCTTTAGGAATCTGTTTCGACACTGCTCGTTTGTGCGGGTTGTTTTAGGGTTTTGAATGTCGATGGACAAATGAGTTGCTGTACTCTGCTATTTAACATGCACATTTTCTTGCTAGTTTTGGTTTTATTCTTATTTGAGCAAGAATTGATGACTGGCAACCCCGATAGGCTCACATGGAACCCGTTCCTAGTGAGAACGCATTTCATTTCATAGCTGACTTAACGGCTAGTGGAGGGATTCAAACCTGTTTCCCGCAGGATCTGGTTTATGGTCGAGTGACTGTTGTGCAATTAAACAAAATCGGTCTGCCCAAAACATAGATTTAGTTTAGAGAATTCACATGAATCAACCTTAAATCGATTTTTATTCAACATCTACAAAAACACATTACATCCCACATAAAGATAAGGGGTTGTTTGTTTACCTCTTAATAGGTCCATTAAGAGGCAACCTCTGAATCGTTAAGAGGTGAATCTTGTTTGGCAAAATAAAAGGCTGCCTCTTAATGGTTCTAAAACCCTCTGAATGATTTTGTATCATGGATCTCCCTTAACAATTAAAAGCCTTAATTTCATTGTACACAATTATCAAACAATTATATTTCATTTTGTACTATATCAAGAGAGCCTCTTAATCATTCTACACCAAATCATTCTGCAATTGCCAAACAGCCCCTAAGAGTATGGTAAGATGTACGTAGATCGACTTTGAATCAAACCAAATTGACCGGATTCAGCAAGTATATCCTACGCCGATGGGTTAAAAACGCCATTCGCTTTATACAAGCTTTTAAGATGAATCAGTGATGGTCAATACGCCAATATTCATAAACTTTAAAGTTGCTTCTACCTTTCCAATTCAATGAATCATCATCATACAGAAAACACTTTTTTCTTTCCTCTCAAGAAACGCAATTGAAGCCTAAGAAGGCCTTGTAATTCTAGTTGCACAAATAGATATAGAGATAGAGATCAGAAAGCAGAATCGGTGTTCTTCGACTTCCTCATCATCATATCTTTGGCTTCGTTAATTTTGGAAGCAAGGTAATGACTGCCACCAGCATCTGGATGGTTTGCAACCATCACCCTTCGATGAGCTTCTCGAACCTTATCCATCGCAGTACTTTCCCTATACGGAAACAGATGTAAAGGGTACAGTTTGCAAGAAAGCAGAGAAGCAAGAATTGGTTGGTATCTCAATTGTGACAAAAATCCAAAAAACCAAACCAAACGAACCCAGCATGAAGCTTTTGGCAATATATATACCTTACTCCAAGAATAAGAGCAGCTTCTCTTCTTGTCATTTGAGGTTGGAAACCCCCTTGATAGAATTTGCGGAATGCGGGTGAAGCTGGTCGAGCCTTGAAAGCATTCCAGGCTTGGATGCCATATCGACCAGCATACGCAGCAGCAGCAACTGCAAGCCCTGCCATGAGTGGAGTAGCCTGTTGGAATGGAGGTTCTAGCGTTAGACTCCATATCCATAACTTGCTTCTATGCTACTACAAGTAATGCAATCAAAATATACAGAGGAGATATATTCGGCTTGGTTCAGTTAGAAGTAACAAAACCAAACCAAAACAAACTCAATGAGTCCCTGGGGGTCTAAACATGGTAAGATTTGCGTAGACCTTACCTCCATCCATGTTTTCTAAATTCTAATCCGGCACACAACCGTTACATTTATCATTTATGCATAAAGAACAAGAATCGCAGAACTCATAGAAGCTAGGCTAGCAAGCCCAATGAAAAGGTCTATTCGGTTTTGGTTGGTGGGAACATATGTTTTGCGAATAAGGGCAACACCACCTAATGGTAAACCGATCAGACTAAAAAGAAGATTCGTAGAAACTAAAGGGTGTTTGGGTAAGTTGCAATGATCGGTTTCTACCCTGTTTGCCAAATTTGATTCTGATTTTGCTTCATGATTTATAAGGGCAAATAATGAAGAATTGCTGCAACGAAGCTAATTTTCGAAGGTAAAGTAAAATTGTATTAATACCCACAACTCTAATCCCTTTGTTCCATTGGACAATCTTATTATGATTACTGAATCACTTTGAAAACGCACATCCAAACACCACCGAAGTATGGTGGCCTTAGCCGGAGAACTAGTGTCCCTACTAGTACCAATTGAGGCTCTTGAACCGGTGGCCGTGTATGAATAATCAAACCAGTATATTCTTCTAGCATTTATAATCAATAATCAAACCAGTATGTTCCATTCGAAGATAGGGTTGGAGGTGGGATATACACAAACATGTCCGATTACCCCAAAGAGTAAGGCGATTGTTTCGTGAAAACCCTCACTTGTGTAATAGAATTAATAACCACAACACCTACAAACATGGATAAATCTGATAATGGAGAAATGAGTAGGATGGATGACTAACCATTTAATTGGGTATCTCGGAGCTCGAACGAATCGAAAACTTGAAAAGAATAGCTGGGTTTGGAGCTCTTCCAATTTAGGGTTCCTTTTATCGTTGAACAAGCAATAGATTAGTCGCACAATCTCCAAAACTTTTCGCCCAATTAGCAAATTCAATAAGTGGTTATGACGAAAGTAGGAGATTCGTATGACAAATTTGATCAGGTTCGTATGAGAAATTACGAGAGACGATGTGCTTATGTGTCGTTCATTTGGTTTTATGTTGGAGGTGAATTTGGGGGTGCGACGCCGACTTTCTCGCTTGTTGCTCAAGTTAATATATTTGCCCTAACCATTTCGTTTATTTTAACAAAAATTAAAAAAAAAAAAAAAGAACCTCTTTTGTTATATTATTTTTATTGTTTTTTAATCATTTTATTTTATTTTAAGAAATCTGCAAATGAGAAAGTAAATATTAGTAAGGGAAATTTTACGATGAATAAAAATATGAATATTTATTTTGAAATAAAGGAAGTATTTTTAGTAGAATGTTTAAATAAAAACACTAAATATAGTAAGACTTTAATAAAGTTAAAAATTAAAGTTATTATTTATCTATTTGTCGTATATAAATATTATATACTTCAAAAACATATAATTATTATACTTTTAATGAATTAAATGACAATTTTACCCTCAATAACAAAGAGAGAAAATAATTTATCTATTTCATAATTAAAGATAAAATAAAAAACTGGGAGCCAAATAAAAATATAAACACCGAAAGAGTAATGAAAAAAACAATAAGACACTAAAAATAAGTGCATAAAATCTGATACAATAAGTAAATAAAGATGTGATAAAAATACATTATAAAATTGTACATTTGAAAGTATCGTTTGAATGATTTTCAATCTCAAAACAATTTTCTTGTATCACTCTGCTAAACAAGATATCACTCCAATTCATTACAAATGCTGGTTTCAACCTTGGGTGGCCCCGAATGCCGCCTCGGCCTCGGCCTCGCCAATGAACCCGGAAAGTCGAGTTGTTTCTTTGTACGCCCACCAGAAGCCGCTGCCGTGCTCCCACCACCGTTATCTGACAAACCCTTTTCCAGTTGTTTCGCCTTTGCCGACTTAGTGGAACCCACCATGTGTTTACGGGCAGACGGAGAACCAGCCAAACTTTCATCATTTTTCACGGTAGACCCCGTGATGCTATGCCTTCTATTCCTCTCAGACCGAACACTAACAACGCTCCGTGAGTCATCATCATCCAGGTTAGCCTCAACCCCAGAAACAAATGCTTGTGGGCTTGGACCAGCGTTGATTTTTCGTGAAGCCAACGGACCACCCGCTTTGGAACGAGGAGTTGAAGGGACGGAATTGAGTTGGTGACGAGCATACGACTTTGCAATTTCGTTCCGAGTAATGGTGATACCGGTCTTAACAGATGCATGATCATTTCCAGGATCTTTCTCGGCCCGTGGCTCCCATGGCCGGGCCGCCATATATCTCTCTGACCAGCTCCAACCCCATTGAGGATTGGTCGGGTCCATGAAAAGCAAGTTTGGCGGCCCTGCCGACTTCTTCCATGGTTGCTGTTTCAGTAGAAACTCTGATGAGCTCAAATCAGATGCTCAAATATTCAAGTTTATGGTTAACGCTACTTAAAGCACGAGCCTTTACCTGATGAGAAAACGAATAAGCCATCGCCCTTTCTCTTCTCATGGTAGCCTCATACTTGCTCAGAAGCTTCGCTTCCATCTGTTCTTTAGACTGCACGCTATAGTTCCATTCATCTCCGTTCTGTAACAATACGTGCATCCGGTTATGAAAAAGATGATAGTTAGATAAAAAAGAGCAGAGTAAGGAGCCATCTGAGACTTGGGCTATGTTCAGCAAACTAGCGAATAAACTAGTAAAATCGCTCATGTAACTTATTGAAACACAACTTGAAGTAAATTTCCAAAAAGTTCTGTTTATGGGTAATCAAACGGGAATGTTTCAATAAAACATAAAAACTGACCTGCAAGTTTGCGATTTCTTTAGCTCGTTTCAGTAGGAGTTGTCTCTGAAGAGCTTGATTCTCCTCCGACATCCTGATCCTCCGAGAATTGATCTGCGACTGTACATGAGATGCATTTTGTGTACATTTGAGCGTGTTGGCAGTCTGCCGCTTGACGCTAGGCCCTTCGACCACTGCTTTCAATCTAACAAGCCCTCGTAAATCCCACAACACCCTTCTTGCCTGTAAACACACCAAAAAGATCAAGAAAAGATTATCACAAGCAAGTATTGTATGTTTTATGTTATTGATGGAATTCACAGTCTCACGAGACAACCACTCTATGGGGTAGAGGTCAGGTCTGCGTACATCTCACCCTGACCCCACTTCCAGGTGAGATATACAGGGGTCGTTTGATTTCATAATATCAACTATTTATTCACAGTGGATTAATAGCACAAATGAGCGATTTGATTCAACAAGAAGATACCAAGTAACCACGAAAAGTGGTTTGAATTCTGATGGCTGCTTCTTCCGCCATTGTTTCTCCAGAATAGGGAGTCGTGTTGGCTGTCGCTGCTGTTGAGGCAACAGCGGCACCAGTGGCGATGGCAACCGAATATGCACTTTTTGGAGGCTCATCCTCCACCTCAACTGGTTTCACCTCTTCTGGTTGAGAAATTGGATGAGAACCACAAGAACCGCCAACATTTTCTACAATTGAGGTATCGGGTACTAAAGGATTTTCGTCCACAAACCCTTTCTTCTCCGATTTCTGGTGGTTAAATAACACAATTGTCATTTTCTAATGACATCTAACAAAATCTAATGGATTATGCTTGAAGAGGCAGATTTAAACGAGAACCATAAATACTTCTAGAACCAGGGAACCAACCATTCATGTTTTATTCACCATGAAAGATGTAACAGATATTCATAATAAATAATTATTCATGGTTATTCTTCATATATAAGATATGAAATAGTTGGTTCTTACGTTCTCAAAATATTTATGGTTCTCATTTCAACTTCCACCTATACTTGTAAAGAACCTGGGTTTTCTTCTCTTTGGAGCTCGGACTCAACGTCTTTTTAATCGAAGAAAACCAGCTCCCTTTCCTCCCCATTACTGAATCACTCACCAAAAAAGTGACTGTTTTCACCACAATGTCGCCATTTCCTGCTAAGAGATACACTTTGACATTCAAGATCAAACATATACAACTTCTTAAATTCAAAAAATTGATGTGCAATCATGAAATTGACCCAATATTTTTTGTTTTTGTAGCATGTTTGTTATAAGTTTCAATGTGCTTCGGGATCTTCAAGAATTCGAATATTTCATGTCAATTTGGAGTTGCAAATTAGTCCATTCTACGTTAGAAGTCAAACTGTCAGTTAATTCCTCATCTTATTTAAAATGTGTTCTCTAAATCTGTAAATAAAACACACTCAGATGTACATAAGACTATTGGATTACAAGTTTCAAGGCCCAAAATTCATAAGGATATTCTAAGATGATATATATATATCACATGAATCTAAATCAAATCCTGTAGAGAGAAATTCATCAAAATCCTCAGAATACAAGTAATTATAGAAATCCCAAATGCCATTCAATGAAAACCACGAGAAATTTGATAAAAATTTGATGAAACTTACAGAAATCAGTAGGATCCAAGAGATTATGCAAAACACAAATGACAATTGGCGACCAACTTCAACGAACAATAATCCAAAACTCGGATAATTCAAGTAATTATGCAATTCCCAAATGCCAGTCAATGAAAACCTCGAGAAATTTGATTAAATTTTTTTGATGAAACTTAAAGAAATCAGTAGGATCCGGGAGATTATGCAATACACAAATGCCAAATGGCGACGAACTTCAACGAATAATATCCAAAAGTCAGATAATTGTCAGAAATTTTATACAATAACAGCTTATGCCTCTTTCCCAAACCCAACAGGATCCAAGCAATTACGCTAGACCTAATACCAAATCAATGACATCAGTAACTATACTGAAAGAGCAGAAAAAGATTGAGATAACATCAGCTAAAAATCAGTTCATGATGAATGAGAATTTACCTACGAATCTGGTTGGGATCCTTGAGAGCTTGTTGAAAATGGTTATCAGTAGCAGATGTGTTTCTTGGAAGGGAAAAGACCCAGATCTTGTTGATGGAAGGCGAAAGGGTAAAACTTACAAAGAGAATTGAAAGGAGACAGGATGAGATGAATAACAGCTGGGTTTTGCTTCGATGGAGCCACATTGTGAGCCGAGCTCAGGAGCGAGGGATTTTAAATCTCTTTCTTTTTTATTTATTTTTTAAATAAATTGATTACAGACAACCCCAACTTAGAGGCTGTTTACCAAATTTTCTATTAAGTCTTGTATGGATAAATTTATCTGTCTGGATAAATTTGTCTGTCTGGATGAATTTATGTTGTTGTTTACTATTCTATCTGAATCAACAGTCTGAATAACATAAATGACCAATTTACCCCTTGAGTTTGAACTACGCATTGTTGCTTCTCTCCTCATCTCTCTCGACTTCCATGAACAAAAAACCCAAAAACCAAAATCAAAAACCAAGAACAAAAACCAAAACCTGCATCTCCTTCCTCAACAAAACCTGCATCTCCTCATCTCTCTCGACTTCGATGCATCACCAATCGAAATCCTAATCTCCAAAAGCAATGACGTGAAAACTCCAAAATCGAAATCCTAATACCCAAAATCGAAACCCCAAATCGAAATCCTAATACCCCAATCTCCAAAAGCAATGACGTGAAAACCCCTGCGTCACCGAAATCGATTTGAAGTCTGTGCGAAAGACAAGTGGAGGTGATCGATGGTTGGTGGTGAACACAGGCAAAAGATCGATGGAGAAGAAGGGTAGGGCAAGTCTTTTGGCCGGCTTAATCTGGACAAGTGCCTTTTTTCATCTGGGCGAATAAGCCCATTTCTGAGCGATTAAGCTCAAAGTAAACAGTCTTGAGCGTCTGTGCGAATAAGCCAATTTATCCACTAAGCTCATTAAGTCATAAGTAAACAGGCCCTTACTTGGTATAAAGGGTTGTTTATTTATCTCTTAATAGTTTCATTTATAGACAACCTTTGTCTTTTAATGGTTCTAAAACTCTCTGAATGATTTTGTATCATAGATCATCCTTAACCATTAAGAGCCTTGATTTCATTGTATACAATTACCAAACAATTATATTTCATTTTACATTATATTATGAAAGTCTTTTAATCATTTTGACCACTTAATCATTACACATTAAATCATTCAGCAATTGCCAAACAGCCCCTAAAAATTGCTTTTAAGGATATTATTGAAGGACTTTTTTTTGACCCATTCAACGGTTGAAGCTCCAAAGAGAGGGTGGTTGAAATTGAAGACCTGGCCTGTCTTGTATTTGAACAAAATCGACCTGCCTCTTTTGTCAACAGAGCTACAGACCTGAGAACTAACAGAACATAAACGTGATACATGAATGCATCTAGTAAACTATACTTAGGTTTTATCTTCGTCCTAGGTAAACTTGGTCTTGATTGTGTTTATGGGATACATGTTGTTAGTCAACTTAACGCTTAGTAACTTTAAGGTTTTATAATAGACGGTTATCAAACATTTAATTGATATAAAGCATCCACGACACCAAATATATAACTTTGAAAAAAGGTGTGGATCACATGTAAACATTAATACATGCAAATTATTGAATATAAATTTCGTAAATAGTTATGTATATCATAACAACTTCACGTGCACCATTACATTATGAACAAAAGCATAAATAAGTATGTGAATCAAGATAATGGGAGTCATAATCTGTTTTTCAATCTCAATCAAGTTGAGACGTACCTTAACAGTGCATATCTAGATCATACTTGTACTGACCTGGTGCACATACATCTCGGGTCAGCCATATGGCGGTGAATCCGTTCCCGCAACTCCTTGCCTAAGCAACCCTGAAATGTATTTTGGGGGATAATTGTAATTTTTTAAGGTTTTTACATATGAAATCATAAGTTTCTTGGGATAAAAGTGTACTTAATTTTTTTTTATGGGTTTTATATGAAAATTTAATAAATAAAACTCACCATTCAAGGTTTACACCCTTCAAGGACTTTAATGTATTTAATTTACTTCCTTTTTTTACATTTTTTCGTTTAAAAACCATATTATATTAATTAAGTAATAGTTAAAATACATTAAAAATGTATATTTTTACATTCGAAATAAATAGGGGTGCTCAAAAACCCGATCAACCCGATCACCCCCAACCTAACCCAACGCGAAATAATTCAACCCGAAGCAACCCGATGTCTAATCGAGTTGTAAAATTGTCAAACCGTAAGTATTGAGTTACTATTATTTGAACCCAACCCAACCCGATGAACCCGATATCCTTTTATTTCTTGGATTTAATATGAGTGTTGAATTTCTCTTAATATATACATTAAACAATTACACTATCATGCATGCTTTTCATATACACATATTTCCAATCTATTCATATATATGTTCTGCAATTATGAACATATATATGTAAATTGAGAAAATTAACTGAATGTGATATACGTAAAAAATATGGATAAGTTATACCAAATGGTTGATGATGAAAAAGAAATTACGAGTAGAGAAATAACATATTAAAGGTTAGAAGAATATTTTAATATACCGAAGTATCAATCCGACCAACCCGTGCGGATTGGGTTGCACTTTGGTTTGGGTTGGGTTGAATTAAGATTTTTCCAAAGCGTAAGTATTGGATTAGATTGTTCAAATGTCTTCAACCCGATCAACCTAATCCATAAGCACCCCTAAAAATAAATACAATATTAGATATTTTTAATGTTTACACAAATATATATATATAGGGTATATTTCTTTTACAACCTTGTGCATTTGTACAACCTTTGCAACCCATTTAATTGAGATATTTATAAAAATGATTGGAGTTCATTTATTATGATTTGAATATTTATGGAATATGAATAAAGTTTATTAATTATGATTAATACTTTATATCAAGAAACAATTAATTGATTAAAAATTGAATGGTTGAGATGAGGGTTGTATAGGGTGTACGAATGACAAAGGATGTAGAACAATGCATGCACGATAAATGCAATATTCAATCATCATTAAATACAATTTAATGTGATTACAAATTTTTATTAACATATTTTTTATTAAGGTTAATTTGTTTATATAAAATATTGTAGCAATTTTTTAATTGCTTAAATACTTAGTTTATATTTAATGAACCAAAAACATAGTCCCTACAGTAATTTTATAATTATTTTTTTTAAAATTTATATTACGGTAATTATTTTGTGAAACCACTACCAAAAATTACTGGATCCGCATCTGCTTGCATCCTTTGTGGTGTCCCGCCATCCCACTACTGGTGTCCCGGTTAGATATGGCCAAATACGGTCCAATCTAACGATAGACAGGAACCTATACTATGTATGGTCTAACGTTTTGGACCGATAATAAGTTTTCTTGAAAAATGAGGCGTAGCCCGGCTCAGCCCGAAACCCGTTATGCATAGGGATTGATTTTTCATATAAAATTCGTATTTAAAGAGTGTTATAAATTATGATATAAGTTTTTCAAGTAAATGTAATTTGGAAATATATTTAAAAGCTAAATTTCAAAAATTATAATCACAAGAGAGATGAAATCAAAGATAAAGATTACATGGGTAAACATTTTCAATAGATACCTTATTGAAATGTGTAAAACAACGATATCGAACTTGTTTAACGATCAAATCATAAAATACTCTTATCGAAAATCCAGTTAGGGAATTATATATGTTATATTTATAGATAGAGGGGGGGATTTGGGTTCACGTAAGATCAATTTATTTTCGTGAGACCTATGAGACCACTTTTTTACACTTGAAACTTCATAGCAAAATGTTGTGAAGGTAAAAAAAAAGTCGAACCTTTATAGCAAAAATATTGTGAAGCCAAATTTTAAATTTACGCATTTTGTAGTTGATTAGTCACCCGTTATATACGTAATTAAGGCACTTAAATCTATTTTACATTTTAAGCAATGAAGCTAACATTTTAGATATATGTTAATTAAAATAGGAATCTAATTGAAATTGAATATATTTTATGCTACTAGTTTAATAGAAGTTTAACAGGTCATATGGGTTACAAGATGTTTAATTGTTTATACAAAATCACATAAATATTTCAAAATACAATTAAGAGTGAACTCTAATTCTGGTCCCCAAGGTTTAGTGAAATTTTTGAAAGTGGATTCTGAATTTTAATAAGTCTAGAAACCGCCTTTATGGTTCTTTTTTTTTCTTCTGAAAATGGTCATTAATCACTAACTCCGTTAACAATCTATGTTATTTTATCTATTTTCTTAAATATAGTTAAAAACTATAATATATATAATCTATATATTGTTTCTTAAATTATATATTATAATCTTTTAAATTTATATATACAACCCTTTACATGTGTACAACCAATACAACCCAATCTTAACCGTCTATTTAATTTGATTAATATGTGATTTCATAGAAGTTTTGATTGTTTTATAATATAAAGTATTGATCATAATTAATGAACCATATTCATCTTCCATAAATATTCAAATTATAATAAATGAACTCTAATCATTTTTATAAATATCTCAATTAATTGGGTTGGATTGGTTGTATAAATGAACATGATTGCATTTGAAATATACCCTATATATATATATATATATATATATATATATATATATATATATATATATAAACTTGGGATCATATGAGACCAAGGGTTTTTCGTGAGACCCGTAAGATCAATTCTCAACCATTGGATTAGATCTACAATCAAAACATTCATAATCACAGAATTGCCCAGAGACTTTTTAATAATCACGAAATTGCCACCGTGCAACTTTAGATCATTAGCTTATAAAGTTGATCAATGAACATAAATTGGTCTTACGGATCTCACGAAAAACCTTTGCTCTCACGTGAACCCAACCCTATATATATATATATATATATAGGGGCCTAATCAAATGAGAACTAATTAGTTTGTGGTAACTGTGAGAACCAATATTAATCACAAATCAATAGATAAATTAGGAAATTTATAATTTTGGCAATTTTTAATTAAAATATTAATACAAGGATATTTTTGGTATTTTAAAACTTTCCTCCCTCCTCTCTTCTCTCTCCGGCCACCGTCCTCCGGTGATACTACAATGGTATCACAATGCATCATATATGTGCTTGGGTATCACATTGATGTCGTTTGTGTGGTCGATCGAAGATGTAACACAGTGGTATCACTATGCATCTTATATATGATTAGGTATCACAATATATCTTTTGTTTAACAGAGTCAATATTTTTAGGTATCACAGTGGTATCATAGTGGTATCACCGGAGGACGGTGGCCGGAGGCCGGAGAACGGTGGCCGGAGAGAGAAGAGAGGAGAGAGGAGAGTTTTAAAATACCAAAAATATCCTTGCATTAAGATTTTAATTTAAAATTACCAAATTTATAAATTTCCTAATTTATCTATTGATTTGTGGTTAATATTGGTTTTCACAGTTACCACAAACAACTCAGTTCTTCCCTGAATAGGCATATATGTATATATATATATATTTAAATTTATATATTAACTGATGTATTGTCTTAATTGATGTATTAATTCTCAACTTATATTATACTGTTTATATATTATTTCTTATATTTATATATTAAAAAATATAATATCCGTATAGATAATAATAAATAAAAAACATATAAATTTTTGTTTAAAATATAAGATCATGCTTTTTGTTGATACGAGTAAATTTCCTTTTAATTTTCGTCCTTACCAGTTTTTAGAAATTACAATTTTTCATCTATATTTAGAAACCTTAGATTTCATTTTTATAATTTGTAATTCATTATTATTTTTATTTTTATAATTTATTGATGTTTTAATTCGAATAGTTTATAATTATTTACTATTTTAATCTTTTATAATTAAAGATATAGTAACCAAGAGACAAATAAAAGTAAATTGTTAACCCAAAATCATCAACAAAAACGAAGCACATGCAAAATTTGAAAGCACGAAAAACAATCAGTTTTGTGCCACCGCCGGTCAAGCACCCAGATATGCCGCCGGAAAAATAACAAAACCACCATCCCCAACAACGAGCCTAATCGGAGACTATATAAACCAACATAAACAGAACACTTCACTTTCAGTTTCAAACTCATAAAACCAACCATTCATTTCTTCTTCACAGCAGCTTTGGTGATTTTGGCTCCGGTAGGATCTTTCTTGTCCACACTCTTAATAACACCCACAGCAACCGTCTGCCTCATGTCCCTAACCGCAAACCGTCCCAACGGAGGATACTCAGCAAACGTCTCCACCACCATCGGCTTGGTCGGAAGCATCTTCACCATTCCGGCATCACCGTTCTTCAAAAACTTCGGTTCTTTCTCCATCTCCTTACCAGACCTTCGATCGATCTTGGTTAACAGCTCGGAGAACTTAACCGCAATGTGAGAAGTGTGGCAATCAAGCACAGGTGCATACCCATTCCCGATTTGGCCAGGATGGTTCATGATGATGACCTGTGAAGTGAAGCTGGCTGCACCCTTGGCCGGATCGTCTTTCGAGTTTGAAGCAACATACCCACGCTTAAGATCCTTAACAGCAACATTCTTGACATTGAACCCAACATTGTCTCCTGGCAGAGCCTCGAGCAGAGCTTCATGGTGCATCTCTACGGACTTAACTTCAGTAGTCAAACCACTTGGGCCAAAAGTGACAACCATACCAGGCTTGATCACCCCAGTTTCAACACGACCCACTGGCACGGTTCCAATCCCACCAATCTTGTAGACATCTTGAAGTGGAAGACGGAGAGGCTTGTCCGATGGTCTCTTCGGTTCATTGATCTGGTCAAGAGCTTCAAGAAGAGTTGGACCCTTGTACCAATCCAGGTTGGTTGACCTCTCAATCATGTTATCTCCCTCAAAACCAGAAATTGGGACAAATGGGATTTTATCTGGATTGTATCCAACTTTCTTGAGGTAAGAAGACACTTCCTTCACAATCTCATCATACCTAGATTTTGAGTACTTGGGTGTAGTAGCATCCATCTACAAACCAGCAAATATTGAAGTGTGTTAACATTTAACAACACCATCTTAAAATACACCATAATAATGACAAAAAGAAGCAGAATCTATCCAGAAAAGTACCTTGTTGCAACAACAGATCATTTGTTTGACACCAAGAGTAAAGGCAAGCAAAGCGTGCTCACGAGTCTGTCCATCCTTAGAAATCCCAGCCTCGAAACCACCAGTAGTGGAGTCGATGATGAGAACAGCACAATCAGCTTGGGAGGTTCCGGTGATCATGTTCTTGATGAAATCACGATGGCCAGGGGCGTCGATGACAGTGCAGTAGTATTTGGTGGTTTCGAATTTCCACAGTGCGATATCGATGGTGATACCACGTTCACGCTCTGCCTTTAGCTTGTCCAACACCCAAGCGTACTTGAATGAACGTTTGTTCATCTCAGCAGCTTCCTTTTCGAAACGTTCGATCACACGCTTGTCAATACCTCCTAGCTTGTAGATCAAGTGACCGGTGGTGGTCGACTTTCCAGAGTCGACATGGCCGATGACAACGATGTTAATGTGGAACTTTTCCTTACCCATGATGAACCTGGATGGTTGAATAGAAGCTTATGTAAAAAGAAAATAATGAAACTTATGTAAAAAGAAAATCCAAAATTTATGTATCAATCACCCTAATATATATATATATATATATATATATATATATATATATATA